TGAAACTCAATAGAACGTTTACGTTCTTATAGAAAGTTCAATAAGCCGTATCGATTTCCAGACCCGTCAATGGTAAGTCTAAGTTCCCGAGGGACCTGTCAATCTTTGGGCTTTGCCATTCGATACGCTCATCTTTTAATTCGAAACTTTCCTCGATTTAAACCTACTTGTGGGTCTACTTCCAGTGCTTGTTTCCGAGGGAATGCTGCAACTAAATGATAAAATCACCGCTTCTTTCATTTGATTGCCCTTTAGGCGCTTTGAAGAAATACTCTTGAAACCCCCGTGATTCGATTTATTTATGTGTTATAATTCTAGTTTTTCGCTGTCAATAAAGCCAACTTCTTCGTAACTAATGAGGTTTTAATTAAACATTTAGTTTAAATGCAATAAATCCAATGTAGGGATGGCGTAATGATGATTATTCCCATTTGGACTACTACATCATGGCAATCCCAGATCTATTAGAACCACAGATTGTTTTTCGACTCCATTGGAAGAAAGATGCGGAGACTACCAGAAAGATTAGACTGTAACTTTTTGATTTATTTGTTAAACGTGGAAACAAAAGATGCAGAAAAGATTCAGGTGATGGATACAAATCACTCGTTGAAGTATCACATAACTGATAACAAGCGGAATATTACACGTTATTTTGTAGCCTTGCCCCAAGGCCTCGTTCCGGGGGCCTTGTCGCCCTTCTTTTCAACATACACGCCTTCCACATGATAAGCATGGTAGAATAGTGGAAAAGACCGATTCAATGGGAGAAAGTCAATGTATATGGAAATGTTACATTGATATTGATATAACAGAACAAATAAATCAATACGCATGACACAATTAGTTCTCATTAGTGAAGAAAGTAATGATTGAAGTAATTAGTCCAATCAGTGAATTCCTCTCTATCATTATGATTATTGCGTTAAGCACAGGGCATGTTTATAGTATACATCATCTACAAATCAATAATAGCCTAGAACTTGAAAAAACCCTGACACAACTATAAATAGAGACAGACATATAAATGATTGACCTATATTTTAGGTATTGACATATAGACTTTTATGAGATAATATCAATACACAAAACAAAGCATTAATTTGATATGTGCATATCTTTTAATAAAGCAGGGGCGGACCTGGGAACCAAGAAGGGGAGGGGGGCAAATCTCAGGTATGGGAAAACAACTTTTGGGCCGTTAAAACATTTTGAGGCCAATTTTCTACAAAATGTGGCCTGAAATTAAGAAATAAGGCCTTAAAAGGCCAGGTAATGATAAAAAAGGCCCACTCTTTGGCCCAAATCTTTTTGGACCCAATTTATTTTGGGCACACCCTAGGGGGGGGGGGGGCGGCGGGCCCCCAAGATCCTCCAGTGTATAGTACCATCTTTGTATTACATGAGCTCTTTTACTTGAGCATTTGTGCATTCCCTAGGAGAACTACATACATGTATAGACTTATAGACATGTATGAACCGGTTTCCCTATTTTCACTACTCAAAATGAATGGGATTTGTGTACACTGTATATGCTGACAGATATAAGCCGATCTACTGATGTGATGTAATCCCTATTAAATCAAAGAAAGGATTGGCAGGTTAAGATAGTTGTTATTATGTTGATATTTATTCAACTCAGACTGCTTCCCAGTTCCCATTCTTGAAATATTGGCTCGTCATCTGGAAACCGGGCAAGTTCTTGATCATCGTCTGAGACCAACGCGAGTATTGACTATTGGGTCATCATCTGAATGCCCTGTTAAATACGAAATGACTCTATGCGCAGGGTAAGAATTTGAATATTGAAAATTTGTCCGCTGTGACGGAGCATGCTATTTTTCATAAAAACACTAAGAATACTTCACGATTTATTTTTTAACTCATATGTTTCGTTATACCATACACAATTACTTACTCCATGCAATGGATATATAATTTGCGGGTAACTTTCACTTCTGTTTGAAGTCCAATTACGCTGGGAAGAAAAGCTATTAAAAATGGCGCCGGAGTATCATACTTCAAAATGTACCATTTCTTGTTTAACTTTCTAATGGCACGATATAGTGACACGATAATATTTACACATGGTTTCAGCTTAACTATGAAGGTATAAATGAGATGTTGATGTATTTGGTCTTTTTAATTCTTTTATAAAAAATAATATTTAATTTTTTTGTCCGCTGTGACGGAGCAGTTGCAAATGTGAACTGTGAAAATGCTCCGTCACAGCGGACAAAAAATATTAATATTATTTTTTATTAGAAAAATTAAAAAGACCCAATGCATTAATATCTCATTAATACATTCAGAGTTATGCTTAAAACATATGTTAATATTATCGTGTCACTATATCATGCCATTAAAAAGTTAAAAAAGAAATGGTACATTTTAGAGTTTGATACTCTGGCGCCGTTTTTAATAGATTTTACTCCTAGCGTTATTGGACTTCAAACAGAAGTGAAGGTTACACGCAAATGATATATCCATTGCATGGAGTAAGTAATTATCTTTGATATAACGAAACATATGAGTTAAAAAATAAATCTTGAAGCATTCTTAGTGTTTTTATGAAAAATAGCATGCTCCGTCACAGCTGACAAATCTTTCGATACCAGCCTGTGAAAAAGGCCCACTAATTGAGGCCTACAAAATGTTTTTGTGCTCAAAATATTTTTTCTTGGCCCACCCAAGGGGGGGGGGGTGGCATGGTGCCCCCTGGATCCGCCAGTAGTATTAGCTATGATTATCATCTGGACGGCATGATAATACTGGCTCACTATCTTGACGATGCGCTAGTATTGGCCCAGAGTATTGGCTTATTTTCTGAACGCCAGGCCTAGCATTGGTTCATCATCTGAATGGTAGACTAGTATTGGTTCATGATTTTAACATTAGAGTAGTATTGGGTCGCCATTTGAACGCTTGACTAGTATCGGCTCATAATTTGAACCCCAGGCTAGTATTGTCTCGTCATATGAACCCAAGGCTAGTACTGGTTCTTCAATGAACGCCAAGCTATAGCTAGTATTGGCTCATTGTCTGAGCATCAGGGTAGTGTTGAGTCAAAATTTTGCCCACCGGGCTTGAACTGCCCCATCGTATGCGTACCATATCACGTATCACTGTATCATTACGAACGGACTTATCTGTGTGGGGTTTATTACTATATAGTAGTTGCTGTGTGATTTTCGAATTTTGCCCTTTATCATATGGCTCTGATCAGAGATTGTATATGTAACTATTTTGAGATTCACCCTTTAAAAGAGGGTTTAAGCATCAAAAGAAGACATAACATATGATCATGTTCAAGTCGGCTACGGAGATGGTTGTAATATAATCTCATAAGAGCATATCAATTCTGTTATAAAGAAGATATCTGTCAGCTTTAATATTATCATCTTGTTTTCCACATGATTATGTTCATCATTTAAAATTCTTTATCGTCATATTCCTCGATAGGTGAATCTCGTGTTATCATGTCATATTGCATATATCAAATTAAAGCCCTGGGAGGAGTGGGTGTTCCACAGCATGGGAAAATGCCATGATGTTCTTAAGTAGAGAAGTAATTCACATACCAGATTGAAATTGATAGTCTAATGATAATATTTTCATAACTGGAAAGTAATGAATCAATAATGTTAGATGTATTTTTGTTGCTATTTATTATGAGGTCAAAACTTCCCAGAAATGGAGGTATCTTGTAGGCAACTTTACACATAGAGGTGACATGACATTTAGCAGAAAGTGTAAGAGACCCCGCGATGCTTCCCCAAATGAAACAAGATATAAGACACACCCATGGCATAAGATATGAGATCCCAAATCGCATACGATTTTCTAATGTATAAGATACCCTGAATGGTATAATATATAAGAGGCTCCAATGGCATACATGTCATAAGAGATCCCAATATCATAAAGTATGAGATCCCAAATGGCATAAGATACTCCAAATGGCATAATAGATACCAAGATCATAAGGTGAGAGATCCCAAATGGCATAAAGCATGATAACTCCAAATGGCATAAGAGATCCCAATATCATAAGGTATGAGATATGGACCACTAATCCTCCATTTAGACACCTCCCATTTTTACTGGGATGTTGACTTTCAAATCGGCACGGACACATTGAATAAAGCATTTAATATTTATTTGCTTTCATTTTGGCCCCATAAGGGTTTAATGCTACGCCCTTTACATTGTATTAGAATGGTGTAGGCCTGTCGGAACATATTCACATAAAGTAAAATAAAGCAAAAATAAAACTTATGTAAAACTTATATACATGGACGGTTTCAAATTATATATGAAATAGGTAAAATACATGCACTGGTGATAAATATGTTTGGCCAATTCAAAGATATAAACATGGTACCATATAGGATATTACTATTAAACACTTACATGTATCCACTGGTACATAATATCAACATAAAATATAAAGCTTCCAGATTTTAACATTGCTCAACAGGCAAGAAAACAGGTACATCAATAAGGTGACATCTATCACACCTTAGCAACACTAACTGCGGAGAATACATTAAATGAGTAACAAAAATAAATATCTGTTTAACAAGTTCAATTCAGGAATGTCAGTGAAAATGACAATGCATTAAAACTGCATTAGCACAAGGCTAAAGTATTGTTCTGTACAGGTACATAACAAACATTTTATCAAGTTACACCTTATGGTACATATCAATTTTTGAGCAGTTATAACAGTAATACTAATAAGCAATCATAACAATGAAAACAAGTCATTAACACACAACATGTCACCACCTGTCATTTATTACAACACCAACCCCCTGAATGCTGAACACCATCCATAAAAAAGTTGGAGACTACAACAATGTGTCACTACTTGTGGTGTTGACATAACTAGAGCCTGGCCCATATTGCGTGTATGACTCGATTTATAAATCAATCAATTTGGCTCATAATACCATACAAATGACACTTTACAAAATTCAATCATAATACAACAAGCATAGAGTTACGGAGTTACATTAAATGACCAACAACATTAATTTAGTCCAGATGGCTTAGTGAGTCGTTTCAAGTAAATTCAAGTTTTTTGCTCTTTGGAAATGTTGTTCATGGCAAAATGTGATTGGCAACTATCTCCTACATCAAAACATTTCCTAGAAATGCACTCCAGGAACGTGCAGAAGCGTACATCATTCAATGTGCAATAATACATGTAGCATTAAAGTACAATGTATATTATATACATATATCTTGGAAGCCTTGTTAATTAATAATGTGTTTTGAAGTAAAACAAGTTTCAGGGCCCTTGATAACCCTACTACCTTCAAGTTGCACAACTTAGGTAAACCAAATCAGGGTCAGATACATTCGTTATAACAATCTATGCATATATTAATGTAAATGGTCAGTGCTCGGAGAGGAATTTGTCTAACATGACACAATGTGTCTTTTATACATTGGGAATTATAAATGCACATGAGCAATCCTTGAAATCTCATAGGTGACCTTTGTAGAAACAGGATATCTCACACATGTTCTATTATGTATGACATGGCCCTAATTTTAAGGTTTCAGTATAAGGTACCATATCTCAACAAATCCAGTTCTTCTCTAAAGCAAGTCATGTATAGATATGTGATTACTGTGACTCTAGTCTCTATGACAGACTTCCTAGAATCAACCTGTTATCTCCCCCACCAATAGCAAACAGTCTCCCTCCCTTGGTAGTGTCCAGAGCTTGTACTGGTTTTTCCATCTTTATTTCACCCAGGCACTGAAATAATGTAGTTCAATAACGACTAAATTATAAAAAATGACAAGCATCTAAATGAGGAAGGTTCTGCACAGACTGAAAGGTTTACTAGTATTAAGTTATATTACTAGTAATGAATGTATCTGTTACTGTGACAGTGAATAGATACAAGAACTACCCATATCCCCAAAAAGGAAGGGAATGGTCATTTATATACATATACATGAACCTACCTTTCCAGAGACAGTATTCACAGCTTGTATACTATGAGTACCACTGCCCCCTGCTATGACCACATCATTGTCACAGAACTGAGCACAATACAAGAACTCCCCATGTCCACCATGGGGGAAGGGAATGTTCTTCTCAACTACACCCTCATTGTAATCCCAGATCTGCAGTGAATGTTGAGCTACCCAGGAACCCGTCAAGATTTTAAAGCCCTATAACAAAGAAATACATTTGCCAATTGCCATGTATCACATTTTTATTTGAGTCAGGGCTTGAGCTTGTGTTGGCTTGCTGGTTATTGACAGGAAAGTTTTGATACAGCTAGACCATCATTAAAGTACATAGAAGATGACATTGCAACAGGCCTGAAAATTTGAAAAGCTGTTTTCAGATCCTAAGCTAGAGCCCTGAGGCAAAAACAAAGTTGAATGCTGTGGTGATGCTATAATAACATCTGCTGCAATATTCAATACACCTTTAATATTAAATGATTAGGTGACAGTTTGATAAATATAAATTGATATACTGTACTATGAAAATGAATGGATTAAAATGCACCATAGGCTAAGTTACCTTCATTGAAGTATTTTGCTCATTAGAGGACAAATTGTGTATCCAACCTATATACCATCAATAACACATATAATTTGTGAGGATGCTGACTGTGAACCTTGTAGCACATTTAACCCATTTAAAATTAAATCAAATCCTCTATTCCCTAGTAAGTGTAAGACTATAGCTATTACCCTGACATCCAGGCTGTCCCCGCAGATATGTGGACCCCCAATAGTCCTCTTGACACCATCCTGTGACCTTGTGTCCCACACCTAGAAAGCAAAGAGACTTTTATGAGAACTTGAAGAGAACAGAAACTAAGCAGTGTGAACAACTTAATAAATTCTTGTTAATTTTAGAATTGTCTTTATCTAACAAAATGGCAGCTGATTCATGGTAAAAAGGAACATTTCCAATCCACTGAAGGTTTCTTTATATTGTGTGATTTAAAGGAAACCTTGACGCCAGATTCATAACCAGTCATTAAGCAAAATGAATGCAAATTCTTGGTATCTTAATTTACAAGTGTTTTGGGTATTTAGTTCTCAATTATTCAAAAATGTTGGCATATGAACAGACAACCAGATGGATGGACAGAGGAGTATGTGATACTATATTCTCAACAAGGCATTATCAGGCAAAATGTCATCACCTGCCATTTGATACAGATGCCAACCACTGAATGATGAGCACCAACCACCACTACTTCTGGTGGTGACATAAAAATAGGCCTTCAATGTAATGTCTAACCTTGAGATGGTTGTCCCAGCCACCTGTTATGAGAATATGATTGTTCTCTGGGTGATACTTGAGAGCAAATACCCGCTGAGCATGACCTGGGACCTGGAACTCTACTGGTGGAGCAGTCTCATTATAGCCCTGGTAGACATGGGATAACTGAAACAAACAATATTCTTAATAATATTATCATAACGTTATCATAATGGTTTACTGATTTATAGTATTCTAGGTAACAAATACATACTCTAAAAGACTCTATTATAACCATACTATTTCAGTCTCTATTATGACCATACTATTTCAGACTGTAGAAAAACTAATGCCTTAAAGTCCCCATCTAAAGTTTGAAAATATTTTTTTATCATTCATTTACTATTTGTCAGGACTTAAAAAGTGATTTTAGAGATTTTTGAACAAAAAAAATTTTTTGGAAAAAAATGGGAGCATTTCATTTCTCAAATATTCAAATATCTTTTTAACACCAATGCAAAGATTGAACAAAGGACAAACTATTTCAATAATAAAATGCCATATTTAATGGGCCACTTCAATGTTTTAGCATATCAAAAATATTTTGAAACATTAGTGATGTCACTAAGGTAACAAAAACTTTTTGAAAAAAATTGAAATTTTTTTTCGATGTCAATCTTTTCTAAATATGCTAGACTTTAATAAAAAACCAATGTTGATTGTCTAACCAGGTTAAAAGGAAGAATAAATTATGTTTTAGATATCATTGTACCATTGGTTTCTATGAGAACTAAAATTTTGAAATGCATTTTTTTCAGAACCATTTTCATGCACTGATAAGTTAATTTCTCGCTTGTTTATCAACCGATTTTCTTAATTTTTTCGGCAAAAAACATGGGAGGATGAATGCTATGCATTGGTATGAATTGTGGCTAATTAGAAGATATGAGTGACCTCTAAAAGTTGGTTTTAAATAAACTCACAAATTTTGGAACAAAAAGTCTATCAAAAACCACTTTTTGAAATTAAAAAAAAAAGTTTCACATATCACACTTTGATAACATTGGGTAAGACTACAATATAAGCCAAAGTGGTTTAAACTTTACATGGGGCCTTTAAAGATGCAGTATACCATGTTTCTTTCCCAGAAAATCAATGATGTCCATTATTATTGCTTACATAACAACCATCCGAATTGAACAAAATTGATAATCCAGCCATCAAGGGGAATCCAAACATGTCTGCATAAAATTACCTCTGAAAATGGGGAATTTGTTACTTCTTCATTGGGAAGTAGATCAGTGAATATGCGGTAAAATTCAATCTGCAAAAGTCTAGGGAGGGGGGTCTTGATTGTGCTCCTCAATGGTATATAGCAGGTCTTAATTAAGTTGACATGATTAAACTGTATAATGTACCTGTTGAGACTGGGTATCATAAATCCTGACAGTCAGATCTTTCCCAGCAGTTGCAAAATTAAACCCATCCAAGCTAAAGTCCAAGCAGTTTATTTCATTTTGCTTTTCTTCAATGATCACATCAAATGTCCCAGCCTTAGTGTTACAGGACAATACTTGTCCCTCTGAGTTTGATGCAAAGAAGATGTGATGCTGCTTGGGGTGGTAGCGGATACATGTAACAGCCAGTCCCCCTCCATATCTAGATGGCTTAATATCCTGTATCTTCTCCAGTGTATGAGCATCAAAAACCTGCAATAAAGTCAAGTTGACACTGAACTTATATGCATTTGACCAAAAAGCAATGAGAAATCTCCCAAGAAAACGCAGAAAATATTTTGGGTTTACAGTGAACTAATCTGGAAGAAAATCAGAGGGGATTTTCACTTTGCTATCATGTTTAAAGAAGGACATTGGGTCTCAGTAGACGGCTAGGAGGCAGAACTAATGGAGCAGCCAAAACAACTAAAATTTTGAAACACACAAGAATGGTCAGGTTTTCAAGTTACAATTTTATTGAGAAAATGTGTTGCTTCCCATTTTTCTACATGCATTATCTAGGTTTTCATGCAAAGTTTCTACAGCTAATGCCTGGGTCACATTTGCCTGGGTTAATTATGCACAAAATACTCAATAGGCCGGGTGCCAGAGTCAAAATCGGAGCAAATGTGACCAAGGTATTAACTAATAAAAATGCTTCCATTTTGCATACAGATTTAAAAACTTTCTCTTAATAAATTTATTTCAAATGGATGACAGAGGTGATGGGAGAAACAATGTTTTGTTTGATGCTTAAATTTGGAACTGACCTGTATTCCACCATTGCCAAATCCAACTGCTAACTGCTCACTATCCAGAGAGAACTGCAAGCAATATACACCATCTCTGTCATAATCAAACTTTAATTCTTTTAGTACTTCAAGCTTTGTGAACTCTTCTGGCCATTGTTTACCTAGGGGAATAAGAATACATTGTATAGCTCATCTTGAAAAACAATTTCATAAGGGTTAACATGACCTAAGGGTTAATATGACCTAAGGCTTAATATGACCTGAGGGTTAACATAACCCAGACTTGATAATCTCCCAGCATTCAAGAAACCAGCACTGCAATATCAACAACAACAACAATTAAAAATTGGACATTTCTTCTTTGAAAATCGTAAAATGAAAATAAGCAACTCAATCCAAAAATTATAATTTATAATTATTAATCAATACCTTGTTCTATTGCCTTTCCTGCCTGTATGGCAGTCTCTAGACGTCTACGTGCCATATCTATCTGACCATATACATGCAGCAGTTGCAATCTTCCCACTCAGCACTCATTTGCCAAAATAACCTAAAAATAAAAAAGCCATGTATGAAGTGAAACTTCAATATCTTTGTTTATAATAACCACTGAACATCAGGAAGAATTTAAAAACCTTGATCAACTTACAATTTTCATCTGTAAAATCAATAGCAAGAAAGGGTTGCCTTTTAGCATGTATAATGTATACCATGTATATCAATTATTCATTATTTCTCTGATCTAATGTAATACCATCAGGTTAATGTAGTTTCAAAACCTATCCCTAACAAACAGCCAAACATGCAAAATGTTAATGATGCCGAATGCCGAACACCATGTGTGCACCCGATTGAGATTTGAAAAATAGGCTTGCACACAATTTATAACAGATTGACAAACAACTATAGACAAACCATTAACATGCAAAAGTGTCACCACCGGCCATTTGTTACAGATGCAGATCGAGACTATAATAATGTATCACCACTTGTCACACTTTAATCAGCAATCCAAATGTTTTAAGCTAATATTTTGATCACTTCTTGTGTTTTGAAATTTTTTGCTCTATAATAAGACCAAAACTCGCGATTCAAAATTTAAAATGAAAAAAAGGCAACTGTTCTTCAAAATCATGACATCCTTCAAGATTGGGCTTATTTCATTGACCAATAGGACAAATGAGAAAATAACGACTTTGCAGGAGATCTTTTTCATTTGCTCCTGTAATAATTCACTTCTTCACCTCTTTCCACATTGATTTTAATGAATCTATCAAATTTTGGAGTTAACCTCAAATCCAAACATTAATTCTTTTTGAAAAAATACTGCCTCATTATTATATTTTCAAAAGTCATCCACATAGCGACAAATGAAGCCAAAATTAGCTAAAATTATGCAACGCCGTAAAATGGAGTGATACACATTCTATTTCTATATCCTGACGTCATATAACAGTAATGGGTAATGAATTCTTGGAATATGATACGATCATCTGTGACATAAGATGCGTATGGCCCATCAACAACTTGAACAAACAAATAATCTAGAGCTCACTGATTGGTTTAAAGTTTCTTCACATTGTTTGGGACGTCATATATGTGTGACCTAACCAACAAAAAGTGAAACAAACAAGCATTTGGTTCTGTTCAGCACTATAGCAGTCTAGCTCTTTGGTTTTTGATGTATAGTGAATCAGACATCATGAAACAATATTGGAATAATCAACTGATGAGAGCCTAGGCTTGGCAACTTATTTGACTTGGAGATCTCGACTACGAGAAGTTTGCTGCAACTTACTGTTTTGACAATTGACCATGGTCAATATGTCAAATTTCCAGGCTTGGCCATCTTTGATAAGATCTCCCGTATTGGAGATTTATTTTAAGTTTTTTCAAAAACAAACATGGCAGACTATGTCGAATAAAATTAGGCTCGGGACACTTGTTGAAATAGTCCCATGGTCGAAATAGCACAAGGATCAAGAGGTCATGACGCTACTAATCTCAGAAAAATTTAGATATTTTCAAAAAAATAATATTCATCTTTATCATGATTATCAGTCATACAAGCCTGGCAGTCATACAAGCATGAGTTAACACCCTAACAACAGGCTAAATAAATGAAAACAACAGGTAAAATTAATGGAAATCATAAATTTAACATGGAAAAGTTGTGAAATTTTGTGAAAACAACCAGTAAATTGGTCTGTTGCCTGCTGTTAATGAAACCCCTGGATATAGAAAAAATAATTCATACCTCAATCTTTCCACTCTGGCCAGATAATACTCTACATGTAAGACCATCGTAAAATTCATTTTCTAGATTGTGCGACACATTAGTTCAACAAACCTAGTCTGGTCCTGATTTCTTATCTGACATAGCTTGTGGCCCGCCCTAGGTTTAACATCCGTGCCTATTCAGCCTTAGATGCAAAAAATTTATTGGTGGCCTATGGCAGAGCATGGAATTCCATTGCGCGTTTTATTAATAACTGATAGTGCGAATTTGCTACCAATGAAAGCATAGCACAGAAGTTAAACCCAATCACAACAACAAGAACATTCAGATTAATAAATAAAAGCCGTGGTATTGGGTTTAACATGTTGAACTAGTGACGCATATGAGACGCCACAGCCCGATACACATTTACTTTTAGATGATCCCAGTGCTAACTTGCCCTAACCATATGATTATTACTTTTTGTATTCATGGGCTTTCAAGAGTCTCTGAAAGCCCTTGGCTAAACATATGCATAACAAACATATTCAAGGGGGGGGGGGGGTGACTTTCCAGGGGGATTCACATTTCACAATTTTGACCCCAAGCCACTTGAAAATGTTCAGAATGGTGAAATGTACATGATAAGTTGGCGGTTTAAGCCTAAGTTGTGTTTTTTACGCAATCCCCATAAAATGATGTATAGATTGCAATCTTTTTGAAGTATATAAGTCAACGTTGAACACAGAAATCTTAGCAAATTCATAGAAATTTTTACCTTTTAAATTTTCTGCCATTTTGACGCGAGCACTATGGGAGCGATTTTCGGTAATTTGATTGGTCGATTCTAGCTTCCGGTTTGCGTGCGCAGTTACCGACTTGCCTCACTTATTTAAGAATTTTAATAATCTTGTCATGTTTACACTATTTACTCTATATATACGAATATTTGACAAATAAACTGTATTGCGATTTAAATGAGGATTATTCATCTCTAGAAAAAGGGTGCTCATCTGGGATTATATTTCGGAATCAGATAGGTAAGCATCAAAATGTTTTCATTCAAAATTTATTTTCTGATTTTTTTTGGGGATTCATTTCTAATCTTGAGGTAGATATCTAAATCTTATTTTTCAAGTTCTACTGACGCAGTCAGGCCACGAAGTAGACTCTAATAGACGTCTTCTTCTAAGGCCAATAGATCTATATTGTGGCCTTCGTCCAAAGATAAATCCCTACATGTCTTTTACTCTGCGGGATGTGAGTCATGTTGCTGTATACCGGTCATGTCGTAATCATAAAATTTGAATTCAAATGTTCGCCATTTTTCCACATCACAATTTGAAATGCGAGTTTTGGTCTTATTACCTCACCAAAAATGTATTAGTTCACATCTTCTGGATCACTAACTTAGAATTTACAGCCAGTTACTAATGTCAGACATTAACAACATTTCGTCCAGTTTTCGAATATCGCCATTTTTCTTGGAGCAGTTTGTTTTAATTTTAGACGAAATCCTGACGAAATCATGCAATATCTTATCAAAGAGCCCAGCCAGTTCCATTTCAATTCATGAAATATTAACATGACGGTTTTTAGGATATAACTAAAAACTGAACCCTGACTAGAAATTTTACAATAGTCCACGGTGTTCCAGATGGAATTACTTCTAGCCAAGAAATGGCTACAGACTCGAGTAAGCCTGGGCCTTTAGTGTCCATTTCAATTCAGTTGTGTTGTGATGTCAATTAAACAATGAAACTAGGGTAGAGGGGTAACATGTTGACATGGAAATTAGAGCAATTAAACAACAAGGTGTCAAAGTTACCCTATATGTCGAAAATTCCTGCCATTTTTAAAGTTGAGGCCATCTTGAAAAGCTGAAAAGTATAAAAACCTCAGAGTTCAGAGATGACCTCATAATTACCTTTATACTTACCAGTCTCTTGTCTGTCACAAAATGTCCAACATCTATTTTCTAGTTTCTTTAATAGATGTAAACATGTTCTTTACAACTTTTTTTCTTTATCCTGACTGAGATGAAAACATGTTTATAATGTTTTTTTTGAGACTATCAATCTTAAATCCAAGATCATTTATACGTTGACATGTATTACAGTGTGTATTCACTATTGGTAGATGTCGCACTGATCTGGACATTATAGAGACTCACTGAGATTAGAACTACAGGATACAACTTTAGCGTGTATGGTTAACAGGATTTGGCTGAAAGAAGCATGAGGAAGGATGTTAGAATTCTGCTTGTTGGCGAAGGTAATTGTCTAAAATCTGCATATTTCATTTAACCGTCATTATAATAGATATACCTTGTATATGCACAGATGATATGTTTTCATGCAAAAATATTTGGAAAGCAAGCACTTTAACTTTGGATTTTTTCTGCTGTGATAAAGTACTGTACTGTGATTAACAGTTGTTTTTCTCAAATATCATTCTCATACCATATGTTATTTGTGATACAGATGGTGTAGGGAAGACATCACTGATCTTGTCCCTGGTCAGCGAGGAGTTTCCAGAGGAGGTACCTTTTAAGGCAGAGGAGATAACAATCCCAGCAGATGTTACTCCAGAGAAAGTACCAACACACATTGTTGACTTCTCAAGTAAGAGCAGAATAACTTTTAACTACTGTTCAGTTTAATTTTGATAGTACATTGTACATGTATCACCTTGCTTATAATCCCGAAATGCAAGGCCAATTGTGTAAAGAAATATAACTAAATATTAAGGATTTGAGGTGTCTTGTCGGGTTTCAGTTTCAGTTTTGCTTTAAACATATGTTAATCAGGAAGTTGAAATGTGTTTATTTGTAGTACAGTGCACATATTATTCTTGTTCATAGCACCTTTAGGTATGCAATTGTAAAACAAATATTTTTTGTGAATGGCTGATACTAAATAAGCTAATAATAGAGAGTAAAAAAAACAGGAGGGGAAAATAGTGAACAAAATTAGCCAACTTATATCAATTATACTCGATCTAAATCTATGAATATTTTTTGAATATAGTTACATTGTAACTAGTATACTAAGAAAGTTCTCATCATTTTGATTCTTGCTGTAATTATTAGTAAAATGCTAATCCCAATGATTATTAGTAAAATGCTAATCCCAATGATTATTAGTAAAATGCTAATCTCAATGATTATTAGTAAAATACTAATCCCAATGATTATAAGTAAAATGCTAATCCCAATGATTATTAGTAAAATGCTAATCCCAATGATTATTAGTAAAATGCTAATCCCAGTGGATTTTAAACAGAAAAAGGTAATTTTCAGCACAAGAGCAAAGCCATGAGGAGCTGGTTCATGAGATCAACAGATCTGACGTCATATGTGTGGTGTATTCAGTAGATGTTCCAGAATCTATAGAAAGGGTATGTTTAACAATATTTTTAATGCATTTAAACCACCTTTCACTTATTTGCATAGATATATGTGAAGTCGATACCTCCAGTAATATAAAGGAAAAGAGGGGGGGGGATTTACCAGAATTTGTAAAAGAACCTCTAGAGCTTCATCTTAACAGATAGGTTCATCTACGATTTTTTGGGTATTTTTTCGGTGAAAATAGTTACATAATACATTCTCTAGTGACACATTAGAAATTAACAACGTATAAATTTTGAAATTGGTCATTGAAGCTTTCATACAATATTAATGATCAAGATGTTCTGTTGTTACGAATTTGAACTTATTTTTTACATCTCGAAAGTCATATATGTCCTTGTATTGAATGAGTTATGTGTTCCTGAAAATAAAAAGGTACTCATAGTATTTGTAATTTCTGTTCTATGCACCAACTATTTTCTACCAGCTCAATCTGCATAGGGTGTGAATATGTATGCAATACATATGTAGATATTCAATACATTTACAATCCTGTACTGAACACATTTTTATGTTCATTCAAGTGAATATCTAGTACACACAGATCCAACTCACAGATAACTTTCATGTTGTGATTGACTTTTTTAGATATCAACATATTGGTTGCCAGAGATACGCAAGACAGTAGGCCTAGAGAACAGAAAGCCAGTTATTCTAGTAGGAAACAAGTCTGACACATATGATAACAGCTCTATGGAGGTAAGAATTTTCATATTGTGCAATTTTTCACCCCTCTAACTAGGTTAGTTGTCTACTGTCATCGAGGTCAACAGCAAAATAAAGGTTTATAGTGGGGTTTTACACGAAACTTTTAAAATTAGATCTAATTAATTGATCATTATTTTTGTTTATGTTATTGTTGTAAAACACACAACTGGGGTTCAGGACCTGTATTGAGATATAATCACTCGTATGAACGATTTTGTGGCTCCTGAAAGCAGTAATTTTATTCCTCAATGCATTGAATTCGTTCATCTTCAATCACACAGCCATTTTTTAAGCATGCTTACTGTAGACTTTCGTAGCATCTTTTAAATCCATTTTTCGAGGTCAAGACTTAGGTGCAAGTTTATAATCTTTACACTTGATCTTTTGCATGTTTTGTAAATATGTAAAACATGTCCTTCAAATGATAGATAAGTAAAGCCTGGTTATCCCATGGTATTTCAGTTATCTGTGCAGTTATCTAGGAGTATGCTTAGTTTCTTGGATCAACCTAAGAAATGCACTGGCTTTCTATATTGTGAAGTCATTGAGAAGGTATCATTCACAAACACATGCATGTTTTTTGTTTGTTTTGATATATTATATGACAACCATATAAAATGTGAATAACGTGTTCATTTATAATACAGGGTGACCCCCAAAAATGCCACCCATTATATTTGGAATAACTTTCTCAATAATGAAGGATTATCTTCATAATTTTTTGGGAAGATAGTGTTCAATGGAAGATTGATTGGTGTACTTGTATAGTGTCAACAACTTTGAGATTTAGAGATAGCACATTTTCCGTCCAGGTATGCTTTTGGGGAAATCTTCAAAAAATGTTCAAAAATACAATTTTTCGGAAATTGGGATTTCTGTTTTAGTCATTATTTTAGTCATTGCTTTCACATATACATGTATTATCATTAATATGTCATATCTACCCATTTTGTCAAATTTGATAAACTGACCCACTTATTTTATCAATTTTAGAAAATACAGATTTTCTAATTTACATTTTTGAGTGAATTTTTGGTATATCTCTTAATTTCCAAGTTGTTGATGCTATGCAAGCATACCAATCTTCCTTCCATTGAACACTCTACCTACACATAAAAATCAGGTAGATTCCTTCATTTTTGAGAAAGGTATTCCAAAAATAGTGGGTGGCATTTTTTGGGTCACCCTGTACATGTATACGCTGATCACTGAATAAAAGTTGTATTAGACTCTGCAAGTTTTTTTGTAGGAAATCATGCTTTACAAAAGTGCAAAATGGAAGGTACATCTTATACACAAGACCTTTTGTTTGATTTACTCAAGATTTACTCACTTTGTGCTTGAAGTTTACAAAAACTTAGTTAAACTGGTTTTATATTGTATGGTTGTCATATTATTATACGCATGTTATATGTCATTTTATGTTCTCGTTGGTTAAGAACATTGTTGACACATTGAATTTTTTAGCTGTTCATTGAGTAAGTTTGGATGCTTCATTTGCAAAGGCAAAATGTAAGGCAATTGATCTGTAAAAATATCTGACATATTGATTATTCCTGCTATTTGAGTTTCATAACTCAAAATGTTCCGTTATTCATAATAGAGTGCTTTTAAACATGAAATGAGTTTGATTAGAGACATTGGTTGTATATGATCTAAATTTTCAGCTGTTAAAAGCAAAGTGCTATTTACATGTATTTGTTTTTATAGTTGTTTTTATAGAGTTTTACAGAGTTGTTATTGATTGTTTGTTTGTTTGTTCCAGGTGATATTACCAATTATGAATGCCTGGCAAGAGGTGGAAACTTGTGTTGAGGTAGGATATGATCTAAATGTTTTATCCTGTTAGAAAGACAGGGTTCGTACACACCTGGAAATGTCAGGGAAATTGATTTATTTTTCCAGGTGCTGGAAATGTCAGGGAATTTTTAAATTGGGTCAAAAAGGGCCAAAAATGTCAGGGAATTTTGAAACAGAAGATGTGTCAGGGAAATGTCAGGGAATTTTGTATGATTGTTGAAAAAATAATGTTCCAGCAAAATACATTTTAAGGCAGGATATCAATGAAATCCAAAATCAAATGTTAAGTTGTTTCCACTAATTGTAAATCTTTTCATTAGGGTTGATTGAATGACATTAAATCTGGTTTTGTCTATTTGTAAGAACAGTGTAGTAAGTTAGTTTTAGGCCATTCAAAGCCAATTACTGGCATATGTTTCTTGGTTTGTTGAGGGATTAATCTGGGAACTCTTTACAGTTTAAAATTGTATTTACATGTATATTAAGGAGCTGTATGTTCGACAGTCCGGTTGTATTCAGTCTATTTATCTATTATTTAAATATCAGTTGACAGATTTGGTTAAAATTTTATATACCAATGTTTTTGTTACTGTATATAGAGCCTCTGGCCAAGAAGCCACTTGGCATTTTTCATACAATGTTTACAATGATAGTATTCGATAAAATATGTTTCATTAGGTGGGAATTGCCCCTCAATGGAGTTGCTATTTTTCTTTAGATCAACATTTTGAAGTTTCAGGTTTTATTTGGATTCATTACAAAACATTAACAAATTATAGTTTGAAATGCTTAGAATGCACCATATACAATTGTCAATTTTGAAAAATTTCCGGGGGTGAGCCCCCATACCCCCTTTTGGTTTCCTTCGCTCGCAGTGATGCAAACCCCAAAAGATGCACCCCCTTGACACTTGTTGGCTATGCAAAATACACAATCAAGCTATGTATGTTTACCTTTGGCCTTATGCAATGTAAATACTGTACGTAAAATTGAGAATATAATGTAGTAAATAATATAATGAATTGGTTAATAAGACGGCCTGTAGAAGTAAAGTTAAAGAGAGTATCAGATATAGCGAGCAGGCTAAACAAAAAATTCTTTCAATTTTAAAATATTTCAGGCTCATGTCATCCCTTGTCATGTCTATTTTCTAAAAAATCTAAAAAGTGCATACTTTATTCAAGGAAAACTTAAGATTTTTAGAACAATATATTATTTTTCTGTAAGAATGGTTACCATTCTTATAATTTGGGAGAATTTAAACATTTTTCGCCCATTTTTGCACTTTGAGTCACTGATAACTTCACCAATTTAAAACATATTGTGAATCTTTTGTGAGATATTGTATTTGATATTGTAAGGAATAGATTGGTGGGTCAATTATACAAGTTGCTTGTAATTTCGTCACTCCTATAGATCTGATTATGCCTTTAAGTCATGAGAAATGGTACAAAAGGATAAACCCAAAATGTTTCATAATAAGTCTTGTCTTTTAAATAATACGGTTGTTATCTAGAGACTTTTTAGAGGCCGTGCAAGGAAAACTAGATCTGGAAATTTCCTTTTTTGCCTGGAAATGTCAGGGAAATTCATTTTGAAAAAGGTGTACGAACCCTGAAAGATAACTGAGGAAATGTTTTTCTCAGTTTGATCACATTGTCAAGTGAAAGCTATCCCCATAATAATTACTTTCACTTAATTCAAGTTTATGGATTGACAGTTGATTTGTTAGTGTATTATTAAGTGCATTGTTGTGTATTAAAGTACATTATTGTATCTTAAAGTGCTTTGTTGTGTATTACAGTGCAGTGCCAAAACTCTGAAGAACATTAGTGAGCTTTTCTACTATGCGCAGAAAGCTGTCCTCCATCCAACAGCTCCTCTTTATAATTCAGAAGACAAAGAGGTATGTAGATAATATACCAATAACCTCATTTCAAAGGGCAACATAGTGAAATCTTGGCCCACCACCTAGTGAAAACTAAGTACAATCTAGGATAATGACCACATGGCCCGCCACTATTGCTCAAATCAGTGAAGTTCAAATATAAACCTCTCAAGGTCGTGTTTTAAACCTTGGTATCTGCAATCTATTTTCTCCGTTTACTTAGTGATTTTGGCATTTTATGAAGTTCAAATACAAGAAACATGCAATTTCAGGGGGTTAATTGAATTTAATATCATTCAGTTATATACCGTACATGCACATGTATGATTTTATTGTTTATTTTTGTTGTTTTCAGCTAAAACTCAATTGTAAAAGAGCACTAACAAGAATTTTTAAGGTAAAGATTTTAGTTAAAGAGATGCAGCTTTTGATCATATTTTATTAAGTAATCACATGAAATTATCAGTTTGAGTGGTGGTGTCTTTTCGACCCCTCGCTCACACCCTAGACACTTGACACCTAGTCATACACATATAAACATTAGTTCTCTTTAATAGTTTTTGGCTCACACAGTGAGCCTATGGGATTGACCAGGCGTCCATCCGTTGGTCCGTCCGTCTGTCCGTCCGTCAACATTGGCCGCACAAATTAAAACTGCTATTCGGATTGAGTCATATCCACATTCATTTTATGCATATCCATAATGCCTATTTGACCTATCATCGCCATTTCCCAAGTTCGCCCGGTTTCCGAGAAATTGCGGATTTTGACGTCAAAAAGTCAACTTTTCTGTAAATACTAGACACTTTGTTGAAGTAGAACTTTCAAATAACTTTTAGTAGTTGGTGTATATGCAACTTATGTCCTCTGAAGATTTCAAAGCTCTTGGAATTACGGTTTTTGGTGTTTACTCCATAAAATTTGAAAAAAGTAGGACTTCGTCATTTTCAGGAAACTTTCTCATGTATAAAGTCAATGGCAGGTTTTGTGATTGACAAGATTCTTAAAGTTTGCCTTATACTTGATCATTTCCTGCAATAAATTACATCAATAATAGATTTAAGCATTCCCTACATATTTCTCAATATATGTCAGCATCAAATTTTTACCGTTTTTGAAATATTTGACGTCAAAAAACAGTAAAAATAAGTTATTTTTCAACTTGCTTTAATTTGACCAATTTGTTTTTTGAAAATCATCTACAAGTTGCCAGGAGTTCAAATTTGACATTAGTTTTAGGATTTGACCTTTACTTGACCTTCAGTGACCTTCGAAAGGTCAAAAAAAGTTGTTTTTCAAATTGATTTTTGGATGTAAATTTTGGTCAGCTTAATCACAAAAGACCTTACTGAGCTCTGAATAAGTAAAATTTTCAAGGTCAAAGGTCATCAAACTAGGTCACATAACTATGCTATCTAAGTTTCTCAAAGTTCGAGACTACAAATCCAAATCAATATTTTTGTTTGAAAGTCAGGATATAAATTCCTCTGAAGGTTCCAAACTGTGTGAGCATAGGACCGTGGGTCCTTCATTAACTTAAAATTTGGGATTTGACTTTTCATTGACCTCCCATGACCTCTTGAATGTAAGAAAGTTAATTTTTCAAATCATTTATTTTATTCTAGATTTGTGATGGTGATAATGATGGTCTACTGAGTGATATAGAATTGAACCAGTTCCAGCGAAGGTGTTTCAATGCCCCCCTACAACCCCAGGCCCTGGATGATGTGAAGGCCGTAGTAAGGAAAAACACTGCTGAGGGAATTAGAAATGATTCACTTACACTGAAAGGTACTTTCTTTTATTTATTTTCTCAAATCAAGGAATTGTCTACTGCAGCATAGCCATCCTTTTAGAAAATTAATGGCAAATATTTTTTATCAATGAAGTTGTAAATTACTTGTAATTGTATAACTTTTATCAATTTTGGAATATGAATGATGGAAATGTTTCTCATAAGATGATTTTTCCGTGATGGAGTCACTTGTGAGTAGCCAGGATAAGGCAGAAGAGGCTGTCGCTGTTTTAACAGGTTTGGAAATATTTTTGCCTCACCGATTTTTTTCTTCCTGGCTATGCCGCTGGTGTATAATGTGGTGGTATGAATGCCTAGGTCACATTTGCTCCGATTCATTGCTTGGCGCCCAGCTGATTGAGTATTTTGTTCAAAATTGAAGGTCAAATCTCAAACTTGAGGTCAGATGTGAACTCCCGAGAACTTGTACATGATTTAAAATAAAGTTTGGTCAGTTTGAAGCAAGTTGAAATTAGTTTTGAACAAAATACTAAAAACGGCCGGACGTCAAGCAACTTGTACAAGCAGCTTGTTTAAATAACAACCAAATATGTTTGCAGGGTCAAGGTGATCCAGGTTTTGTTATAGAAAATTTAACATTGAAAAAGGGATAGAAAATAATGGTTTTTGAACAAAGAGTTGGGGTGTCAGAGGGTCTGTAGAATTCATTTTGCAAAAAATTAACATTTGAACCCAAAGAATATATTATGCATGAACATTGAATAAATGAAAGAATAAAAAATATTTTATCTGTTTGATGATTGTAGGTTTCCTGTTCCTCCACACTTTATTTATCCAGAGAGGGCGCCATGAAACAACATGGACAGTGCTACGGCGGTTTGGTTATAGTGATGACTTGACATTATCTAAAGAATATCTACACCCTCCGTAAGTATATTCAGTTTATATATGTACTATGTGTTGAGTATATAAAAAAAAGTTTGTTGTAGGGGAGAGTTGAGTAGCCCTTGGTAGACTGGGCCAAAGTGCTTCGGCCATAGGTCAGACCAGGTTGTAATTGGTTAAGTGAGAGGTCTTATACTTTGAGTAACACTTTAAGCCATGTGAAGCATTTGAAAGACCTTGATATAGTTAAAAATCTTCATTTATCACAACCAAAACGAAAGTGTAACCTATTCATGGTGATATCAGGCATTATTATATCACTATCTAGCTAACGACAGTATGATTGGTCAAAACCGGGTCACATGTCGTGGGATATCTGGCGATATTCAATGGCAACAATGCTAATCAGATAAGACAACCGTGAGATATCTAGCGATATCCCACGCTCCCGGGAATTTTCAAAGAATTTGTTTTCATTCAGTGTAAATAATTTAGTTCAGTGATCAAAATAGCAGACGAACCGAGTAGATTCAATGTATTTCAATGTTAACCTTTGACTTAATAATATTAGGGATGTTAAGCTAGACAGTGATATAATAAAACAAATATTTCACTCTATTTTCGGTGAATACCTGTAGCACTTTCACAAGGTGATATTCCACTTGCCCTTCAGGCTTCGTGGAATATCACTTGTGAAAGATGTACAGGTATTCACCTCAATAGAGTGAAATATTTGTTCAATATCAAGTAAAATTCATATTTTCTAACTAATAACATTATCAATTTTGAAAGAACTAAAAAAAACCTATTTATTTATATTTCCAGACTAAAGGTAGGAACTGGTCGTAGCTGTGAACTGACAGCCCAAGGTGTTCAATATCTCACACAACTGTTCCATAAATATGACTTAGATAACGATGGTGCCCTCTCACCCACTGAACTCCGAGATCTATTCAGTACAGCTACTATAATGCCCTGGGGTTCTGACGTCAACAACACTGTACTAACTAATGCTAATGGATGGATCACTCTATCTGGTTACCTCGCTCAATGGGTGTAAGTTACAACAAAAGCTATTGCTGGTATTTTTTACAAATCTGATATATAAAATTTGCAGAAGTTTTTGTCGGTGTTTCAAATAAATGCAGCTTAATTTTTTGTGAGAATATGAATTGATAATGTGTGATAAAAAACATTTCTGAAAATAGTATTCTAGAATGACAAGTGTATGGATATTGTATTTCATTATAATTCATTTGTTTATCTCTCCTATTTATTTATTTGTAGATTTAGCACTTATACACAAGTCCATAGTACATTAGAGTATTTAGCGCAATTGGGCTATATGTATGAACATGAAAGTCAGCTATCAGCCGTACACAGTAAGTTTTCAAAGTTAAACTTGGCAGAAATCTGAAAAATGGAAAGTGATGCAATCATGATTGCATCATGATATTAATAACCAATCATTTTTTTGTCATTTGAAGTTAATCAAACAACAGGTGTTATGAACAATAATCAAAGTCAAGTGTTATTTAAAGATTATTAAGGTACATGTGTATTTCAAAGTTAATCAAAGCACAAGTCTCATTTAAAATTGATCAAAGTGCACAGGTTATTTGAAGTTAATCAAATTACAAAAAAGTATCATTTGAAATTAATGAAAGTATGAGTGTCACTGAAAGTTAATCAAAGTACAAGTGTCATGAAAAGTTAATCAAATTAGAAATGTCATAAAACGTTAATCAAGGTACAAGTGTCATGAAAAGTTAAAAAAAGTACAAGTGTCATGTAATGTTAATCAAAGTACAAATCTCATGAAAAATTAATCAAGGTACAAGTGTCATGAAAAGTTAATGAAAGTACAAGTGTCATGAATAGTAAATAGAGTTAAGAAAAGTTGATCATGATATATATTTCTGTTTCAGTAACCAGGGATAAAAAAACAGATTTGGCTAAAAAGCAGACTGCAAGAACGGTGTTCCAATGTAATGTGATTGGAAGCAAAGGGGCCGGAAAGGTAGATTATTGCATGCAATTCTTGCAAATCCAGATTTAGTACAACAAGCTGAATATTTTAAGCATTTGATGTTATTCTAATTTGTATGTCCGTAGCGCTATTTTTCTAAGTAGAACGCCACCACCACGGGAACAAGAGTTGAGTGAATCAAAAAATGAACATTCAGGGGGGTCTGGGGGTTCTCCCGCAGGAAAATTGTGAAATTTGGTTGTATTTGGAGCGAATTTGCATCCATCTGGTACGCCTGTGCGTACCCAGCGTACCGGGCGCTACGCCCATGCATATGTTAAAACACTGTTGATTTACTAAGATATTTCATTATCTGAAATTCTGAAATCTATTTAACAATTTGAATCTGTAATTCCAGAGTGCATTTTTACAAGGTTTACTCGGGAGGAATTTGAAGTATGTTGCTACACTGAACTCCAGCTCTCTTCCAGCATATAGCATTAATACAGTACCAGTTTATGGCCAGGAAAAATACATAGTCGTAAGCATTTTATTCACCCACAAATTACTCAAGTTAGATAATTATTTATAAAGTTTAACATCCAGTATTGCAAATTGATGGGATTGATATGATTATCGAGTTATGCCCCTGAATATAAAAATTGTCAAAAATAGTTTAAGTGACAAGTTCAATGTATGTACATTTATTGCAGATCTCTTTTTAACATAAGTTAAGAAAACTTTTCTAAATCATCCCATTTAGTTTGAGTTTTAATTTGTTAAATGTATTTAGTTTAATGTGTTTGCAGCTTCATGAAGTTGATACCAGTCAAGTAGAACAAATGTCATCTGATGACCTATGTAAATGTGATGTCATATGTCTCATGTATGACATCACAAATAGAACATCTTTACAAACCATCAGTAGACTATACCAAGTAAGTACATTTTTTATTTTTAGGTAAGTGAACCAACAATTTGAAATGATTCGTAAAAATTATTTAATTATTACTTCACTGAGTTTGCATTGCTTTCTGATTTGTAACAAAAAGATGTAACAGAAAACACTTTCTTTAGTGAATCACAATGAAATTTACTTCAGAAACATTTCGCTGAGTCCAGAGTACCGTGCCTCCTAGTAGCTTCAAAGACTGACCAGCCATCAGTACCACAGGACAGCGAGTTAACAGCCACCCAATTTTGTTCACGGAACCACTTACCCCCACTGCAACAATTCACTTGCGTCGATAGAATAAATAGAGATATCTATATTAAATTAGCAACAATGGCTGCTTATCCGTAAGTTAACAATTTTTGATTATGATGATTAAATAACTGCAGAATCTTTTGAGTGATTTTATATGATTACTACAAGTCCATAAATAACCAAGATTTTTTTGGCTGAAATAAATAATGGTTTGATTTCATATTTAACAACAAATATAGAATGTTTTAATATATGCTATATGGGAGCTTTATTGGCATAGTGATTCAGTCAACTTAAAATATTGTGAATGATTTTGTTGGAATAAAAGAACAGTATATTTTGTATATTCTGATAAAGGGCCATATTCTGATATAGGTGTGCCAAACATTTGCACAGTGCCAAACTAACATAGATTGTTTATAAACTCACAGACTATTTAGCAGTTAACATCTGTCTTCCAGCAACTTGAAGAGGCTGGTACATATGCTGATGATCAGGAAAACCCCACAATGGTTTCAAGATAAAATCAGGTCTATTGTCAGCACTTAAAATGAATTTGATGGGTCTTGTTGAAGTGGCTTTTTCTGTTTAAATGACATATGTTTGATATAAATATGTATCTAGATTTTTTCTGGTCAAAATGATGTATCTACCCACATGGTTTAAGGGCCTGGTATTTTCAAAGTTCCCATGGGGACTTTAACCACTCAATAGCTTGTAGAAAGCAACATAAGCAAAAAGAGCCACTTCTCCAGATCATTCTATATTCATAGGAGGGAGAAGGCCTCTGTTTCTAGGGTCTCTTATCCACTATGTGATGTGTAGCCTAATGTACCATGTTGTTATAGGCATATTTACTTCTGCAGCAAGCTCTCCAATAATCATGCATGCCCCCTGCTTATCTAGGCTTAATAATATAGCATACTACTTTGAGGTGGATGTCATCAACTATTTTATTTTCGATGCTGTTAACTTTCCTTATTTTTTCCTTTGCAGTCTGTTCTAGTCCCATACTAGACTCTGATATTACTACACACCGATATATATATTTGTTAAATGGCACATTGTACTTAATTTCTTAACTTAGTTTAATATTGGGATAAGAAAGGTAATTTAGTGATCTACAAAACGGTTAGGTGATGGTAATGATTTGAACAATATGCATATTACTAATAGCATGGCGTTAAATAAACACATTTTTTACCACAATGAAATAATTCCCTTATTTACTTGAAATTAACATGACAAAGCAATTGTGCAATCATCAACAAAAAAGGTGTTGTCAAGGTGATTTCATTTATTTTGCAACCTATCTAGAGTACAGTAGAGTTTATATGTTGTATGAGTGGTCTTGCAAGGCTTCCTCACTAATCCACATTTTGAAAGACAGTCAGAATTTATAATATTGTTGTAATTTTATGAAACACTACCATCGTGTCTTTGATTTTAATTTTGACCTGAATAAATATTATTTACGACCTAGATAAATGTAGAAGTGGTCATTCTTTTTAAATCATTACTAAAACATCATTTTTGCTGTACGCATGTAGTGCAAATGTTCACTCTGTATTTTCAGTAAACTCAGTATGGGAGACAGTGAAGGCAATATGGTAAAGCTTACTGTTGGCTTAGCCCTAGGAGCCGTACTCGGCTTTCTCGTTTACAAATATGTGGCCAACAAGAGGTGAGGCACACAAGGAGGAAGAGCCAAGGCTAGGATTATCAAATTATAGATAGCTATGTATAAGAAGGAATGAGTGCTACCCACCCATGTATCTAGGACTTCAACAAAGCGTATCATGATACCAGTGGCAACCCAACAATATCAAGCAGAAAACCTCATCTTGAATTGTGGACATTTTGAATCATAGTCACTAATAAGGACACAGGACCTGCTTGGCTGTCCAATCTCGATTTCAGATATACATGTATTATATTTGAGTGCTACACATCTGATCATCTGGGATATTCAGCCAAGCAAACCATATTAACTTCCTTAAGAAAATTGAGCATCACTGAATCCTGACAGAAATTTGAAACGTTTGTACGGTATTTTGGAGCATCTAGGGCATTGAATTTAATTAAGATTTGATTTTCATGTACATGTTTTATATCAATGGATATACAAGTGTAATAGCTCTAACAGCATGCTTTGAAGTTAACCTTTCATGCATGATCTTTCTCCTGTGCATTGTTCAAGATGGGCATGTATTGATGGAGGAATCTTATTGGTCCAATTCAAACAGGAGAATGTGCATGTATTTCTATATATGGCTTGCTTCTGTTAAAGCGAATACCACAGTAATGGTGTAATGTTGGAATTCTGAGTTGTCAGGTTGAAACATTGTACTATGTAAGTTGAACCATGGGCTTTCAAGAGACTTGAAAGTCCACAGTTGAAGAACACACCCTCTGTAAATTGACCACCCAACGCAGACCATAGTGTTGCATTCAGCCACTTGTCTGTTTCTTTACCCATATTAGAATATTGAAGTTGTTAATCTGTTGTTGAAGAAGGGTACACGGGGGTTTGATGCAAGACTAAGAATGCTCTTCTTGTCTTTTCCATAATCTGATATGGATTTATTTCTGTTAATTGATTTCATGATTGAGACTTGTCAAGTGAAAATAACTCTCCACATCTCTGTGGTGTACAACTGTAAGTTATATCCGTAGTTGTAAAGAGGCTCTTATGATGATTTGCATGCATAGAATATTATTATATTTATTTATCATTGTTTACCAACCATACCATATAAGTATTTCAATTGCAAGAGCATAAAGTTATAATATCCATTGATCCTTGAACCTGAATTTTTATTTTGGGTATTTAACATGTCTAAAGGCACATATTTTTATCCAAAATTTGAATGTGTTTGAGGTGCATGAGCCAGGTTTGTAAAATGTTGTTTCGTCAAAAAAGGGCAGAACATACGCTTATGTCCTGGCAGACCTGTGGCAGAAAGAAAATATTACTCTTACATTATATGATTTTAAACATTTTCTGAGAATTTTTAGAAATGTCAGCTGTTCTTGAAATGTATGTACAGAGAACACATTGGGGTATTGGATAACAGATTATCCTGTGTATTGGGTCCTCTGTATTAGGGTTATCCTTTGGCCAATATAATTTGTGCTCACAGCATTTGGCCACAGGATAATCCCGACCTCGATCCTTATTTATAGGAGAATAAATAGGTCTGTTCTTGCTACTAAAGACTTTAATCTCAATTTTAAAGGCCCTGTACTTCAAAAATAAGAAACTTCCAAATTCTTCTGATCATCTTGCAATTAAAGCACTTCAATGAACCTTGCTATTAACTGTGATAAAAGTGATATTTCTCATGTTTGAGACTGATCTCTGTCTCCACGGACCAACATTTTCAGTATTTTGCAAGGTTTGTTTTATCAAAGTAGCTTAATATAACCATATCATGTACATTTCCATGTTTCACAATTCCATGTTTCTTTGTTATTGCATGTGAAAACTGAGTGAAGATGTTTGATCCAATACAAAAGTACCTGAAATGCATACATTCAACAGTAATTTCAGTCCCAATTACTGGGTCGAAAATGTATACGGTTAAAACTAGAACATGGCACCTTCTATGTACCTTCAGGTATGTTTTAGTAGTCCCAACATTTACATGTGTGATTATGTAAAGCAGTGTTGGAAATTTTATGACAAAAATTGCAAATAAAATGTGATAACTACTATTAACTGGTTTTAATTAAGTCAGGGTGGCTATATGTGGTGCGGTCTAAGCATGTGAACACATGTTGGTGTATCTGTCCTTTCATAATTCTCCATTGTTAGTAGAAAATTCACCTGTAGAGAAGAGAACTTAAAGAATCGATCTGACTGATGTATGTAACAATAGCAGGTGGTGACATTTTGTGTGTACGTGTTAATGCCATTTGAATAGGTTTGTGGGTCTGGATTCCTGCATTTTCAACAAAAATATTTCAAACACATATGCATTATTAGAGTTACCGCCAAAACAAATAGAACCTTTGGTACTGGGCTCACATGGTGTTGTGGTACTAATTTTTGGGAGAAAAGTCCTATAAATCACCACCTAGAAAATCCAGGATGTCCAAATCCTAAGCATTTGTAGACTTTTATACCAAGAAACATCCTTGACAATTTCAGATTGACCCATGAAATGATTTGGCTCAAAACGTGGAGAAGACTTAACCATGTTAATTAACAAACAAGAATTTATGATGGCAAATCTTGTGGCCACCTAAAATTTACCCAAAATGACCCAAAACGAATCAGTTGTAAAGCCAAGAAAGATCCCCAAGATCTATCAATCAAATTGATTGGCTTGAAACCTGTGGAAATTCATAGATTAAAGATTTTAGGATGGAAAATTTCAAAATGGCAGATTAATTTTTGCCTATTTACAATGTTTAATCTCATAAAACTACATGCACTTCATTACAGTGATATCAGCTTTTACAATGCAGGACACCTGAAAGTATTAATTGAAGCTACTAAATGTTAAAATAAAAAATTAAAATTTGAGCAATGAAAATGGTGGTCAAAGACTAGCTTTTGAACCGAGAGTCAGAGGGGTTTTCTCTTGATGTTAAACAAAAATGAGTCATTATGACATGGAAAAAATATAAATATATATTTTAGCCCACCCCGTATACAACCCTTGTGGGTGCTGTTTGGAAGTACTTTCACAATAACATCCATGCATGGACATAACTTTTAATCATCTCCTCCATCCAACGATATTTTGCAACAATGATTCATATCTTGATTGGAGAGACAGCACTTTATATTAAGTAGTGTCATCCCTAGCTGTGATTTCAATCCTTGACTGCACAGATTTTTTGTCAGTATAATTATGTTCCCGACACTCTCCTAAATCTTCGTAGCAGTAGAATGTGAAGTTGTTAACCACAAATTATGGATAAGTTAATTATGGATATGTTAACAAAATCTTACTGTATTGTAAATATTACTGTGAGTACCAGGCTGCTTCATTATGAAAATCTTAGCCAATTTTGAAACTATAGTTGAAGAAAATAAGCAAGATCCAGTTTTATTGAATTAATCAATCCTTCTCTCAATCATCTGCCAAGGTATTTTGATTTCTATATATACAGGGTTTCCCTTTTTGGCCCACCCTGTAGTTTTCAATGACCTCCAGTGAGTGGGAGCTACTATATACTAATGATTGATATAACTTTGGTAATTTATTTGTAAAAAATGTTTTAAATGATTGTGTCAATAACAGCTGCCTTTTATTCATAATTTTTTTTATTGCATTTATCTGAAACATCGGAATTGAAATTGAAATATTCGCCAATATAAATCTTCGCCAAAATTTAGAATGAATCCCCGGGAATTATCTAGAGTATTTCGTCCAGTGTATTTAGGTCACTTCCGGTTTAGTTTTTTTCCAAAAATATGAAAAAATGTCTCTCATAAATTGCCTCAGAACTGGTCAGTCACTCATTAATACTCAGGGAAAACTAGAAATGAAAAGCGAGGTATATTAGCAGCATCGATCGAGGTGCAAAATGTAAAGGATGATCTCACAAAAATGTACAAACGTGGTGAATATCGCCAGTGGTCCTCAAAAGAAAAAACTAACATACAGCCAAACATGCCCATTTACATGGTAATTCGCAAACAGCACTTAAGTTTAACATTGCATTAACATTTTTTTGCATATCCGCCAAATTAAATAGCCGCCAATATGCCAAAAAATGGCAAAATCGCCAAATTAAGTAGCGCCAAATTAACCCAATCTACAGTATGATGGATTATGGACTTTTCTTGAATAGGCAGTTGAATTAGCGGTTTCTGCAGGCAAGTACCTAAGTTCCCTTGTTTCAGTTGAAAGGCAATCTAGAAATAAATGGGACTTTGTTTTGGATGTCCGACATGGGCAAGTTTTCCTTGAAAAGTGTTTGATCAGAGTGCTGAATATGCTTGTAATCTCAAAGTTGGTTGAGGCATTTCTGAACATTTCTGAAGTGGTAAACGATCCACATACATGGAATGAATAAGAACAGAGAATAAGTGATGAGGTTTGGAGATCAACTTATCAAAATATTCATTTCATAACTTGGTGGATCTTAAAATTCAATATTATATATTATCGTATAATCTGTAAAATGAAGCCTCCTGATTGGTCAGTTCTTGTGCTGTACCAATCACTGTATTGCTACTGAGATTGATCGCATTGATCATCTCCGTTGCAATACAGAAAATATTGGTACAGAGGGGACATTCTCAGTAGCAATACAGAGGATCACACGATAAAAACGTTATAGAATGATTTGAAGTACAATACAGGATATATTCTGCTCTCGATATTCTGTATTGGCACTCGACTTTAATCTGCAGAGTGCCCCCCCCCCCCAGTGGAAACGAAGGACTCCACAACAGATTTGTTTCCTCCAAATCTCAGCAATAAGATTGAGTGTTCTGGTCCTTCAAGTGATGACATACATCCACTGCATTATATCCCTTAATTTTCCAAAAGCTGGGCACACAAGGAAAACTGCTCCACATCTAAGATGAATCTTGACGAAGAATAGATATTCCAATCAAGTTGGTCTTTCCATCTACATGAACAATATCATTTGAATACTGCTACAATTGTTGATGTTGCATTCATTCTTCAATTAAACAGTAATCTATTCATGAAATACAGTGATCGGGACAAGATTCCAGGTTGTGAGATACAATATTTCCAGTGCCCAGCTTTTGTATAAACAGCCTTCCTTTTCACATTGTACACAAACATAGCAACTTTGGTGTAGTCTTTTTTATTCATTTTTACAGCTTTTTTACATTTAGAAAAAGAATCCCAGGATTTTTCCTCCTAAATGTTTTCTCCTGGCCTCCTCGTGATCCATGATACCTCCAGATGTGGTCAATACGATGAACCTGAAAATACACAAAAAATACATTCAGGTTTCATTCAATCTTTCTGCATCATTGAAAATTGTCTGTTTAACATGTTTAACAGTTGTTTAACTCCTTTCCGCTGATTTACGAGTTTTTACGACTTTTTGAATCTCCCGCTATTGTCAGCTGCCATGCACCCCTAACTTGCCCCGGGGACGTTTTTCGTCCAGTGTAATTAAAGCTCCGCGCATGCTCAGTAGTTCAGTCAAAAAAATTTGAAATTTTTTTCATTTTTCCGGCTTTAATCGATCAATAAACAAGTTTATAAACAAAGAATCGTTTCAACTTTAGTTAATTACGATGCCTAGGTAGACAATCAATGCCTAGACGCCCAGAACTGCGGCCGATACGGGATCGGATAGTAAATATCTCAGCTGAAAGTGACATTGAAACTGATGATGAATCGGCTCTTGGGGAAGCTTTGTGTTGTCATTATCAGAATTAGAGGATGAATATGACTCCTCAAACTCAAGTACTGACTCAGATTCTAATGAGGATTTTTATTTTAACCCTTGGGATTTTAATAACAGGGCAGGGGGTATATCTTTTTATACTCTAAACAGATAGATAATACAATTTCCTTTCCAAAACTGTATAGTTTTACTATGTTCTGACCAATACTTTCAGAGTTATGGTTTTTTAAAGACGACAACTGTCAATTTTTACGCGTTTTTCAGGATTAACTTCAGCAGAAAAGAGTTTAACAGTTTTTTGAAATTTCTTAAATCCAACTTTAGCTTATGCACCATTTAAAAGGTTTGAGTGAGACCCCCCCTCACGAAACCATGTAGTGAGGAAAGGGGATTTCAACAATATAAAAAAAGTGACTGTCGAATTCCCAATTCAAGGAGCAATCTACTGAGTCAATATCCCAACCAAAATTCCTATTACTGGGAATATGCATTTTACCAAATGGCCGGATAAGTATAATGTCAAATCCCACTACTATGAAAACACTGCATGTCAAAATATTAATAAAAAGCTGACTGAAATAGCATCATGATTGGAAAATTACATTTTTTTTTGAAATTGGTTAAAATGGATTATCAACTGGGCAAAACAGAACTTTTTTTAATGGGATACAAAAACTATTCGATTCAATGCTTGGGGAGATCACTGATTTTGGAAAAAAATGAAATTGATGTCTTACCCGAACTGTCTGGATGGAAGGAGGCGGGTGGTCCAGGATTCCATGTCCCTCATAGCAATGTCAAACCTGGGGCTGATTACACCACACTGAAATATAAAATGGATTTAAATTAAAATCGATAATTATTTTCTCTGATTTTTAATAACACTGAAGAATGAGCCAAATTCTGCAGAAATAAAAAAAAATCAAATATCCACCAAATTAAGTAAATTTTAGGAGTTTCATTGAAGGGCCTAAAAATACATTTACATTGTATAGTAGGAGTACATTCATCTGCTTTTAAAAGTGTCTGCAGGTTTCAGTCTCTTTGACAGTACTTAGAACTGACAAGTCAACAATATTACGAAAAAATATTTGACTTTATTTCAGAATAATCCTTTGATGTGGAAGATCATCTGTCAAAAATTAAAAAAAAATCTGCATCTATATCTACAGGGTGGTCCAAAAAAAATTGGAACATTTGTTAATTGAACGCAAAACCTTTATTTTTCTTCTAAAATGTACAAAACTTTTACTGAGCATAGTTCAATCACTTATTTATCTGATGTAAAGTTTAGAGGTGAAAACCACAAAGTTAACGCATTTAACTAGTCAATCTTTGATAGGACCGCCTTTTCTTAAATATACACTTGTCAATTCCGCAGCTACTTTTTCAAGTATTATTTATTTCAAAGCTTTAATGCACATGTTAATTGGTATAAATATTTTATAAAATCATATTCAGTTGACAAAGGGTATTTACATCTGGGGTTTGCCAGAAAAATATTGTGTTAACTTAAACTTAAACAATACCCAAAATGATCATTTTCATTTAAGAGGTCAGAGGTGTCAGAGGTGAGCGATTGCATAACCCTCACAGCTACTCAAGTGACAAAAGAATTGTTCCCACTTTTCAGTAAAGGCAAAACTGACCAGTTATTCACAAAGTTTTATTAAAAACCAATGCTAAGCACATATACAGTGTATAATATATATACCATTTGTGTTCTGGGAGACTCCTCTGTGATATTGATAGACATATTGATATTCCCAATGAATATTATTCATATCAGAACAATAAAGGGGCAGGGGCTTCATTTATCAGTCAAATCAGACTGCCCTGGCCTCTTTCTGGAGAATATTCAATCAGTAATACACCCAACAATAGCCATCAAAATATGCTTGATCCCATGAATTTGGGTAAAAAATGTTTAATATGCTACTAGATTTGATCTTCAAAGGCAAACAAATAGGAAGTTTGATCAAGCTGAAATTTTTAATTAAGATGGCTTGGACAAAACAAACGAACAGCAAACTAATTGAATATTTACAAATCTGAGCCCCAGGCTTCAACTTGTAAGTCAGGAGAAGAGGGGCCATATCAAACATTGACTAGTTTAATGCATTAACTTTGTGGTTTTCACCTATAAACTTTACATCAGATACATAAGTGACTGAACTATGCTCAGTAAAAGTTTGGTGCATTTTAGAAGAAAAATAATGGTTTTGCATTCAATTAACAAATGTTCCAATTTTTTTTGGACCACCCTGTAAATATCTTCTGTATTTGATCAGACATCTAGATTCTTCTTTCAAAAAATAAAACAAGTGGATGATTCCGATTCAGAGATTCCATAAAATCACTTACTAGTAAAATATCTCATAAATATTCGATCAAATGAATAAAATCTTACCTTGTTGAGCCTCCCAGTTAGGTTGACTACAATTTTACCAGCTCTGTGGTCATCAATCACCTCAAACTCTCCAATGTAACCTGAAACAAACAGTCAATAATTATCATAGAAGTAAATGTTTTATAGCAAGCAAGGGTGTAGTGATGCCACGCCTGCCTCACCAAAGTTTGACAGATTCATTCAGACATTTTTTCCAACTAGAACTGGGAAAATAAAGCCCAGTTAAATGCCCTTTTTAGCCTTAGTCTCTCATATCTAAATTGTTCAAAAATGAATTTAAAATCAAAATGCAACTCTATTGGTGACCAAAAGCTTTGCTAATGCAGTGTTCACCATAAATAAATGACACCTGAAGTGAGGATTTCCCATGTTAAAAAGAAGAGAATTTTCAAGTGCCCATATACATTAGTAGTTAGTAGTATACAAAATGTGAAATGTACAAAACTTAAGGGATGTGTGTCAATACATTATTGAAAAGTATGAAGTCTCAAATCACCATGGTCTGGGAATGGTGATAGAAAATCAAGATGGCATTTATTTATGGTATACTGTAGTTTACTGTGCAAAAATACAAACTATTCGTACAAAGTTTGCCTTAAATTGCTTAGCTGCAACAAGCGGCTGACAATTTGAGATATATGGAAACATTTAATCCATGTCCTAACATTTGTTTCCTGACGTTTCCACAAAAAAGTCAACAGAAAGATAACTTACCATGTTTCATCATCACAGTCAGAAAGCGGACAATGACCTTTGAACATGGCCTGATCAGGACTTGTCGTTTGCCTCTCTTTTCAGCATTACAAATACACTTGAGAGCATCGGCCAATACATTCATTCGCACCATTTTGGCGATATCTAAAATATATAATTGTTGAATGTTTTGAAAAAGATTTGTCATCACATTTGTGCTAGAATGAGATATTAGCACTTATGAATAATAAAGATTGCTATTTACAATAATAGGTAGAAGTTTAATATTAAATGTGTTAAGAAATATGAACATGAGATCAAATATTTATAATTTTCCAAAAATTCCCCACTTTTATGGAAGGTCTTGCAACTTGAAGATGTTATTCATGCCTCCCAATGAGGTGAAATTCAAATAGATTAACGTAGTGTTCAAGAGAATATCCAACATTATATCTAAATTGTCTTTTTTTATGTCGATTGGACACAATTAAGGAGATATCGATGGATATTCCGAGACATTCAGAAATATATTAGACTTACAAGTATGGCGGCGGAAAAGGGCGAGATTTGATGAGAGTACGGCATTCTGGGATAGCAGGTGCGCGAGAGAAAACGAGATATGATTATATTAATAAATATCAGTGAGTATATGGATTTATTTTACCGTTGGTGTATGATTCTTATAACGTAGAAGCACTCAGGAAAATTTTGTAGGTCTCATTCTCCTGCAACCCGTATAAATCCAATTCGAGACTTTGCCTTAGCAACTTTTGTATATGCCGCCATATTGGATTCAAAAATGGGACTTCAAAATTTTCTGAAATATATTTCATAAATCTCCAAGTGATTCATTATATTTTATGGTCATGGATATTCACCTCGATATAAACAATATACAAGGTACTCATATCTTTCATTTCAACTAATTTTGTAGTGCCAGTCACAAATAATCCACTTTCTAAAGTCTCAGTAAAAACTTTCCAAATTAGAAAATCTAGGCTAGATTAGAGTCAGTACGTCTATTTCCAAACACCCCCATCAAAAAATGTAGTTAGCTTGGCTGTACTGCACATCTATGCTATGATTCTATATATATTATGTGTATTATCCACTGTAGAATGCATTTGCAGAAAAAATTACGAAAAATTGTAAAAAATATCTGGGTTATTCCATTTTTACTACAAGGTATTTTAGGGGGGTAATTCCGAACAGGAGTTATTTTGGGGGGTAAATCCGAACACTTGCATGGGGGTAATTCCAAACACTTAACTTAAACTTTATTGTTTTAATTATTAGATTGATGGTATATCATTATATGATACCCTTAACTTATGATACTGGATCCTGTCACCCCTGCATATCAAGAAACCCAAATTTAAATCATTTATTACTGACATCTATTTATTTAAACGCACAGAGTTTTTGGGGGTAATTCCAAACACTAGCATGGGGGTAATTCCGAACACCTAAATCATCATAATTGATTATTTTATTGTAAGATTGTTGGTATACATCATTATATTGTATCTTTCAGGCTATAAATATTATGTAGAGGTAGTAGAGGTACTATTATTCAATTCAATGATCTGCTTGCCATTATTTGGAACCCGTTCGTGTTTACCCCCCTGTTTGGATTTGGACGTATTGACTCTAGTCTAGATCTAGCCTACAGTAGGGGACATAAAGAATTGCTATAGCTATGATAATTACATGCTGTCGCACATGTAATAAATTCTTACCTCAGTGTATTCAGTGCTCTATTTTCTCCGTCCTAGTAAGTCCAAATATAGTGGAATTTGTGTCCATAATGACAAATAAGAACTTAAAAAGTTGAAGTGGATAATCACATGTTAATGCCAACTCTTCAAATGTTGAGGTGATTTTGGAGCCCGATTACGCTGCAAGGGAGAATAAGCTCCCAGAATGCAACATGACACGTGCCATCTTTCAAAATGCCACTCTGCCATTTTGAAACCTGTCACGAGTAAATAATGTTAACTGATGTTGCATTGTGGGAGTCAATCCTCCTTGGATCACAAACATGGCGATTCATCAAAACATTCGTTCGATTTGGTAGCGCTTTATCCATCATTTGCAGATATGAAGCTTTGGATTCATTTATTGTGCTACTTAAGTGAACGGGAATTATTTTTCTACTAATTGGGAGAGTTTCAGACACGAAACTTAGAATTTAGCTCATTGTGACAACTTTTGATGGTTGAGGTTTAGTTTTGTCCACCACTTTAGACACAGTCGTAGAGAATGTTCTGGCGAAAGGAGATTGGGATTCCAAATTATTCATATCTATCTCGTTCGAAGAACGTATTAGAAATCCGTGAAATTAGACTAACCTAGACTAGCTCTACTCTATATTTCATTTGAATTTGATGTATAGTGGATCTTGTTAAAGTAAAATTTAGACTAAGGTTAGCTAGCCTAGTATCCAGCTTTCCTTATTCTAGGCTATATCTAGGTTGGTTGGTTGGTATCTACAGTAGTTTACATACTTGTAGGGCTAGTCTATTATTTTGACTCTTCAGTGCTAGCTAGGATCTCAAACATTATATTTAGGCTGCATTATGCAGTTACTGTATTGATTTGTTTCAAATTTTTTCCAGAATATTAAACAACTACAATATGCCTGGGGTGCCTGGTGTAACATCCTACCCAAGCTCCATTCGGAGCGGGTCACCGGTTGATTATGCCTGTAAGGTGCAGCATCGTTCAGATCTTCTCATGGCAGACCAGGTAAACCTTTGAGTATTGCATTTTATGGTTTGTTTTGACATCAGTGTTATAATATATTTGGTGCTCAATACCTGGTGTACTGTACCTTTAATTCAGTAGTAGCATACAGTTTACCATGCGTATGTATTACATGACATAGATAAACGTTTCCCCAAATGCTTCCAATTTTTTATGGCATCTATTATATGACTTCAATTATATAGTACTTAAGTTATTACTTTGGTTTGGAATTGAATAGAATAAGTTTAGAGACTAACATATTTTTTACAGATTCTGTCTGTAAAGCAGTCGCAGGATGCTTTGGAGACTGGTCTACAAGAGTTGAAGGATGTTGGTCAACATGAAGATTCTGGTGTTATGCAGTTCCACTTACACAGAGTTGAAGAATTGAAGATTCAATCTGCTGAAGCTGTCTCTCTTTTACAGGTGAAACAACTGTTAAAAGATACATGTAATAAACATTGTTATTCTCGTGAGGTTTTTGCAACGTTTTGTGATTGTTCAATAAGAGGAGGGAATAGGGGGAGGGGAGTTGTTTATTTTGGTACAATGTAAATGTCCAAACCAAATTATCTTAGGGTAGGCCAAATGGAATGAATAATCTGACTAATTAACCTTTCCAGTCCTTGTGTCTTAAATTTGGATAGGTTTGGTTTAGGGTGGGGTAGATAATATTATTAATAATGCATTGAATAGTTAGTTTTAGAAACTTAAATATCTTTTGAAATATTTGATTAATCATCGTCAATTTGCTCCGATGATCGACGATCAAGTCGGAAAATTTGAGTTAGTCCCACCACTAGATAATAACAGGGAATATATGCAATATCCGAGGAGTGGGTTAAGGATATCTTCCTTGTCCTATTCAAGCAGCATATAAACAACTTGCATCAAAATTGCATCTTGCTGAAAATTATTGGCAACCCTTTATGACTGAGATACACCAGTTACATGTATGTGTGGAGTTGTTTTTCTTGGGTAAATGTATCATATCACATATGTAAGTACTTGACAATGTAGATCTAATATTGATCATACTAGAAATACCTTTTAAACGAGTGACAAAGTGCTTTAATGATGCCACTGTATATATTTATATGTCCATCTATATACACATGGATATGTTGTGTTGCAAGAAATTCAACATTGTTCTGTATTATTCTAGATTGCTAATAAGTTGAATGTTGAGCTGGCATATGCAAGAGTGGACTTGGACAAAACCCTCAAGCATGGCGGAGATATCAATGGGGCTAGGAAAAGAATACACTGGCTGGAAGACAGAATGGAAAAAATACTTGGGAGACAAAAACAAAGGGTTAGTGAGTTCATGTAAATTGTTGTTAAAAGTGTCTGGTGGAGTATAAATAAAGGTGTTGAAAGAATTTTGAACTAAACTAAAAATTGCAGAAATGGACAGAGCTTACTCTATAAATACTCAATAAAAAACAAATCTTTTAATCCGTTTTAATCAAGTGCAAACTTGATGCTTATAGCCAACTACTATTGCACATTTACTCCTTTGCTGACACGGTGTGATTTCATCATCATAGTAAGTTTTTTACAAAGTCAGCTTTTTGTGACAATTATGTTTGATAATTAGTATTACAAACTTGTATTCATCCCTGAATTATCAAAAACCTAAAAACCTCAGATTTTTTAATAACAGTTAATTATATCTACATGCACGTGTTCAGGTGTGCTCCTGTGTAGGGAGTACATGTTTCTTTTTTTCATGCTTTAAATACACAAATAAAATGAAGATAACAATTGATTTCCTCGTTTCAGAATATTAGACGTTTGATTGAGACCATATCAGCTGAAAAGTCAGTGCGACGTGCCCAGCCTGTGGTGAAATTCACTGGTGATCGTGATGACTCATCGTCTTCTCCACATATGATAGAGAGACCAGGAATCAGTTATGATAACGAATCCTCAACACCGCAAACAATGGAACGAGAATACACAGACTTCATAGGATTTGGAATTGGAGGCAAGGAGCTCTCCAGTATGAGTGACCTAAATGAATCCACTAATCGTACAAGTGACTTGAATTTATCAAATCGACAGCTCCCTAAGTTGAAACATAGACCAGCAAACTTAGAATCTGAATCTACATTTGGAGAAATCCCTCCACGGTCTAAAACTGAATCCCCAAGAAGACGTAGGAAGAAGAATTTTCGTAGACAGTCCACTGAACTAAGTGATACATTAGAGTTACCAATAGCAAAAGGAAAAAATGTTAAGAGAAGCCAGTCTGATGCTGGATACTATCCCAATATGGACCACGTCCCTTCAACACTTTCTAAACACAACAGAGTTCACGAGAAAACTGATTTAAGCCTGTATCCTGCGAGCAGTGTATCAGAATTCAAATCAGAAAAAAGTATGAGTGATTTAACAAGTTTAGTATCAAAAAGAGAGAACACATTTAGTATGGTATCTCCTAGAGATATGACCCAAAGTGTGCAGTCTCAAACCACAAGAAGTGAACCTCCCAGTAGGTTGTCAAATGGTGATGGGACGAGTACTCCTCTGAAGGAGTCTTATGACAGTATAAGAGAGATACCACATAGCCAAATAACAGAAGAGGATGAATCATCGATTATAAGGGTAAGACAAATGTGGACCATCTGTAAATCAATTTTTTTGAATTTGCTAAACTGTCATTTTATGATTGAGTATTTAAAGGCACATAACATAACCAGGGCTTTCTAAAAACAATAAGCCACAATGTAAAAAACAAAAGGTGAAAATCACCTGTTACCTTTGAATGATGAAACTTATACACAATGACATAGTTTAAGTTTAAGTTTAAAATAGTTTATTTTTGTGTCACTGACATTACAATATACATATAAAATACATAATAAAAACAACATTTTGTAACATCACCAGCCGGTGCCGACTTATGAGACACAGTATACATTATATCTGAGTGTCACCCATTACTACCCCCAATGGGCAGCTTGGGTCAACACTCATAAAGACAGAGACAAAAAATGTCCCTGGTAAAAATTTATACATGATTAATAACCAATGATATAAATTCAGTCTGATTAATCAGTTTGGCATAAATAAATAAGCAGTTCATGGAATGATATTGTCAATCATTATATTAAATACATATATTGCACTAAATGAGAGTAGCATGTTGCATATGGTCAAAAATTACAATAAATACAAATATCGCACTAAATGTGAATTGTATCATGCATATGGTCGAAGACTGTTAAAACAATAAATTCATATATTGCACTTAATGTAAGTAGCATGTTGCACTATGGTCAAATATTACAATAAATATAAACATTGCACTAAATGTGAAATACACAATGCATCGGTTGAAGACAAATATTACAATAAATACATGTATTGCACTAAATGTGAGATGCATATTGCATGATAAATACATATATTGCACTAAATGTAAGTAGTATATTGCATATGGTCAAATATTACAATTAATATGAATATTGCACTAAATGTGAAATACATAGTGCATATGTTTGAAGACAAATATTACAATAAATGCATATATTGCACTAAATGTGAGATGCATATTGAGTAATAAATACATATATTGCACTAAATGTGATTTGCATGAGCAGTGAATAAATAAAAAAGAACCCCATAGATAATATACACCTCTGCAGTAGTGAATTGAGACCATCTTCCCCAAGGTTGATAGCTCGAAGCACTAAAAAGAGGCATCATAAAACCAAGGAGTTTCTGACTAGATACATTTTAAATAAATATTTTATAAAGGGAACTTAGGTGACATGCATACTCATTTAGTGATTATAGCCTATCAATATTAAGAGATCTCTTATTGCACATATTATAAACTAAAGCTCCTAATGGTCTTTGGAGTGAAGTACAATTCATAATGGAGACAAAAAGAAGTGTAGAATTGGCTGATGTTACATCTAAATAAGGCAATTTCTGTTTAACATTTTCATAAAAATCACATCTTAGATCATCATAATGGCTACATTCTAATAAGAAATGCTTTTCATCTTCAATACAATTCATGTCACATAATAAGCATTTCCTTTCGTGTAATGGTATACCTGTGTAGCGCCCTGTTTCAATTGCTAAGGGTAAAGTACCAGTTCTGAATCTAGCGAGTGACCTACGGTGATGCTTTGGTAGGGCCAAATACCCTTCCTTGCAAACACCATATTTGTACAGTCTATATTGCCTCAATTTATTGCCATTAATTTCATTATTTCTATCATCCACATATACATATTGTGTGTAAAAATTTTCTTCTAATATAAGCCTCACATAATTATAGACTCATAGTTTAATTGACACCTTGTCTAAAACCTTGTGTTTCCCATATATGAAGTAACAGTATGTACACATGTAGTAATGTCGTATAAATATGAATAAACCAATGGTATTCACAGATTTATGTTAAGATTATGATAATGTTGTAAGAAGGGCAAGAATTTTGTGATTTCTAGTATTATGACAATCTTTATTTAATTTTCTAGGTACCACCTATAGAAATTGAAATAGATGAAGCAGAAACACCAAGTCGAGCAACCAGTGGTTCTAGCACGTCACATAGTGCTGCAAGTTCTAGTCACATGACCTCTAAGTCATCACGCAGCAGTGTGACGACAGTAACAAAGGACGGAGATGCCACAAAGGAGAGAGATGGGACGCTGACCCATGATGAAGCTGAATCAAACTTTCAACCTGCATTTGTGACAGATGGCTCATATATGTCAATGAGAAGTGAAAGAAGTCATGTGACTTTTGCTTCTCCGGAACCTTCTGAAGGTAAGGGACCGTCGATTTTCATAGTGGATTGATAAAGGCATGTCATATCTATCTTTTAATTTTTCAAATCCTCAAATCGTTCAACTTGATCTGTCAGAAGGTTCAAAATGTGTCGTTTGTTGTACTTTGGCTGCTGCATGTTTTTATAAAGAAGGATTTCAACAGTGTACTTAAACTTTCTTCATATAGTAATTCAGCATGTTTGATATTGTATCAGCTGATATTCAACATGAAATATTTCCTTTTAAGTGATGAGACCGAAGCCTGTGTTGAAAGTCCCAGATAGAGGTGAAACTTCATACCTTGGAATTATTGAACTTTATGGGTCTATCTTATCTATCAAGAAATAAACACCTATAAAGTTTAATAATTTTGTTTTTAAGAGCTACTGTGCCTCATCTGGAAAATGCTTATACCGTAGACTAGCTTTGCATAGGTCCTGAGCACACCTTTATTAAGCTTTATTGTAGATGAATAAATAGCCCACATTAAAATGACCATATATGGTCATGTTTTGTCACAAGTGTTTCCAGGAACATGTTACTTTTTTTTAAAGGAGCACTTACTAAATGATATTGTACAATGAATGAAGATGTGTAAATTTTGAACTTATCTTTCTTTGTATTATGCAACACCATGTATATCTCAATTCATGTATAATCTGTCTTAATCTAGTTCATTGCTTCAAAATATTCACAGTTTAACAAAGTCTTGTATCGAGTCCCTAATTATTTCTGCATTTTTGAAGGCACGAACAGGTATGTTTTGGGATTACACATGAGCTTGATGCAAGACTGAGTATAACTGAGGAGTTATTGCGCTTCACAGACTGTAGTTTTTTAACATCTCACAATATTCATGGTTATACACCCCCAAAATGCAATCTGATTTTTGACGCCGTTTCGGTGCCAAATTTCGGTGCCGTTTCGGAACCAAATGGACTGACTAGTCCGGTAACAAATTTTGGTGTCGAAAGGTTTCGGTGCTGGAACGGTGTTGAAACGGTGCCGGTGTAAAAGGGTAGGAGGTCCTCTCAAATTATGGTCCTACTCTCCATTGATTTATATGGTGACCTAAATACAACTCTTTCCCTTATTATCTTATACACAATCATGGCCAATAAGGGCCATTTAAAAAGGGGACCATAATCCCCAGGGGACCATAATTTCTTTCACACCTGAACAGTGCCGAATTTTTTCGATGCCGAAACGGCGTCGAATTATATTAGCTGTGTAGAAAATCTATTATTGCTTTTTATTCCCAAATTGGATCAGATGCACTTTCTTAGCTATTGCACCGCAATGATTGAATTCCCGCAACATACTTCTCACTGCTTGTTTTGATATAAGCCAGGCCTTCGTTGTTTTTATCCAAATAAAGAATACTTTAAATGACACACCAAAATCTTTTTTAAAGATCCAGTCTCAGAATTAAATGATTTTCAACTTTATGAATAGAATTAACATTTGGTAAATATTTACTTGATTTGAATTTCCCTGTAGCAAGCTCTACTTCTCCTCCAACATGGCTTGATACTTACACGGAGAATATTTCAGATACTGTACACACTCATTTTGATGTACATGTACAGTGTGTCTTAATTTCTAATATATGATTATGTGACATTACAATTGTAGATAGTGGTGTAGAGGACAATGACGTTGATCTATCTGCTCAGTACTGGCACTCGGAGCATCATAGATTTGCTTTTCACGAATTGGCGGATTTGTTACTTGAGATTAACCCCACATCATACCACACTCTTGGTATTCCCGTGCCAGGAACTTTTGTCCCGCAGCGTAAGTTTTGCTATCCATGTATTGTGCATTCTTTAGTGTTAGGTGGTATCATAATATATTGGCTTCAGGGGCATATAACAAATTACTCAGAATCATGTAATTTTTATGACATTTTGGAATCAAGTGATAACTTAAAAGAATTTGTAATAGCAGACTTGAAAATATTGTATGCATCAATATTTTATTGAAAAAAACTATTTCATAATGCTTCATTTATATTTTAGATGACAGCAACCCTCAGTTGCCTTGGAGACCAAAGAGAAGAGCAAGTGACCTTACAGACATACATGTAAGTTAATTAACAGTATGTACTAGATGATGGCATGACAATAGAATGCTGTTAAAGTATCCACTCATACAATGGAATTGTAAACTAGTGAAAAATACAATACACAAACTGCAAAATTCAAAAAAGGGGACATTTTCAGCTACGCTTTATATACATAAACATGTTCATTTAGTTCTAACTTCCAAGATCCATAAAACAACACGTACATGTATTACAATAGGAACATAATGAATCATTATAGTAATATCACTTGTGTACTTTTATTTCAGAAAATTGCCTTAGACAAGTTATCAACAAGGGTTCACAAGATCTATGACAAGATACATGATGCAGCTATGATATCAGTGGACCCCACATTCAAACAAGAGGAAGGGACTCAACAGACAAGCTTTGTGCAACAGATTGGAGACAGTAAGTGCAATGTCTAATCTCATTGGGAATAGTGTCAGTTATGATTCAATTTTTTACATACAGGGTGACCCAAAATGAATGCAACCCATAAAATGTGCTTGTTATTTCTATACATTATCAAATGAATTACTGGCAAAACTGTAACTGGCAAAACTTTGTCTTTTTCGGGCAGTCCTTACATACAAAGCCAATTGGAGGTTTTGTGATTAATAATGGTTTTAGAAATCGTATAAGTCTTATAGAAGTCTTATAAGTCCATTAGTGCATTCATTCTTCCCAGTTTTCAGAAGCTGGTGATTCATTATGTGAGCCAGAGGGACCATTGGTGCCTCGTTAGATTTTGGATTGAAAATTCCTCATTGCTCCAATAGATTTTGCTAAATTGCTGAATAAACATGTAATATGGATTTGCAAATATGGCATTTTGATGTATTTCACTTATAACTTGTTCTTGTGCATGCATGATCTAACTTTTGGCTGGTCAAGGTTTTTCCTGTCCATTTCTATAATTCATAACTTATGATACTTATACTGTATATTTGCCTCTTGTTGCATTTTGCTTAGCATTGTCTCCATCGATTCCATTTGGAAGGAAATCAAAGTCTCCTGTAATCTGTGAGTTTGAGGAGTTTATATTGTGTATTGCCATCATTGTATTCAGTAATGTTCAATGTACAAGATACCATGGAATGTGTTAGATTCTTGATTTTTATCTCCACCAGAAGTGGTGACATATTGTTACAGTCTCCATCATTTTTGTGGATGGTGTTCGGTGGTTGGTGTTTGGCATTTGGCAGTAGACATCTCTAAAAATGGCAGGTGGTGACATTTTTTCATGTTAATGCCTTGTTTGTAATATTGTCAGAGTATTGTAGTAATTTTATATTTATTGCAATATCATCTCTGCTGTATCTGCTCACGTGGCATTGCATTGTCCCAGGATGTAGTTGAAAATTGCATTGTTATGTATTTTATATTGTATTGTATCTCAATTGTGTTATTTGTATGTCTGTGATTGATCCTTTATGATTCCATATTTGTGTTGTACAGAACATCACTAGCAAAGTTGTGTAAATGTATTACAGTAAATGTATTACAGTACTATACTACAGAAATATATTACAGAAATGTATTACAGAAATGTATAACAGTGATGTATTGCAGAGATGTATTATTACAAAAATGTATTACAGTAGTGTTTTACAGAAATGCATTGCAGAATGTAGTACAGTAGTGTATTACAGAAATAAATTACAGTTATGTACAGGTATTACAGAAAAGTAATACAGAAATGTAACAATCTTAACAGATCTTTTGTAAACTGTAAAACATCATGGCGAAAGTCAATTATTATTTATTAAAAGCAAACTCATTTCATTATCATGTTGTGTTTCAGCCAGTCGAACATCTACAGCTGTTTCTAGGGTGAGTACTGAATTGATTATTTGATTGTCTTTTAATCTTGGTAGAACTGTAATCTTGACAGTTGATACAAATCAAAACATTTGCAATATACCATAAAATACCTAAATACCTTAATTTGAGTGTAATTTTTAAGAGATGCTTCAAATGTGAAATCCCACCTTTTGGATGCCATGTTGGAGACAGAAATCGGAATGACGATACAATATTTCTGACCTACTCTAAAATAGAATATGCAAATGCTAACAAATGGTTCTTTATACTGCATTTAGATACCTAACCACCACTTGTTAATTTTGTGCCATTCACAATGATTAGATATGAAAATTCCTGGTACTTTTCAGCCTACAATGGGTAAGCACACAGGGGTAGATGTTCCTAGGCCCAGAACCGACCAGTCAGTACACCTGCCTCCCCTATTCTCCCCTAGGCTGGGGACTAGCACCTCAGGCCGGATCACATACTACCCTGCTCCCATACCACCCCCTGAGAAACTACCAATCACAAAAGTTGTAAGTTAAAGTTATCTTGGATGTTATCTTATAGCCTTTCAAATTATTTTATATTCAAGAAAAATGGGGTTAGTGTCAAATCAAAGTATGTTTTATTCATATTATTAATACTTGTCATATTTAAAGTTAAAAGTATTATGTACAATGTATATGGTAAAATATGTTTTATTTAATGATATGATTACATTTGCATTTTCAAATGTGCAAAACTATGAGACCCAATTTGTGTTATGATTTCAGAACCGTGACCAGCAGTACCCAAGGGTGTCTGACTCATTCAGTTGTTCCGTGCCAGGGGAGACTAAGCCAGCAGAGCGCATTGTGAACCAGAGGAACTTGAAGAAAGAGACTCAGTTCACCTCCAGTCTATATAGGGGCAAGGCAAAGGCTAAAACACAGGCTAGCATGCCTAAAGAGTAAGTTCCTGCATGTGTATTATACACCTTTAACCAACACTCTGAAATCATGGTACCATAGGGTGTAGTATATGGTGCCATGTGAATTTTTCACTGTACTGTTGCAGATCGGCTTTACAGCTGAAAGTCTCAACAGAAAGTCTCAACAAACGTCAGATTTAGCCTTGTATCAGGTTACTATACCCCAACACTGATTCATTCAACATTGAATATTTGTTTGTAGACAGAATTCAATTTAAATTGTTGTTGTTGTTTTTTATTATCATAGTAATTTTTTTTACAAAGATTTTTCAAAAAGTTGCCGAAGCAAACATTATTGGCAACTATACATATAAACACACTACAATAAAATTATACAAAAATATATAGATTTTGACAATACAAAAATGGGCTGCTGGTGGTTGGTTGGTAGTTTGGTTGGAGTAGGTGAAAATAATAGGTAGCATGATCCTATTCAACAAGTTTGATAGATTCATTAATAAAGGTACTTGTAATAGACAAAACTTCTCTATTTGTTTCAATATTTAAAAAGTTAATTCCATACATAAGAGTTTCAATTTTATCATCTTGTTTCAAATTGTTAAAGGAGAAATTTATGTCATGCATGGTAAATAATCCATTTAGCCTGTCAAGCATTTGGTGTCTTATATCATTGTTGAGGCGACAGTGTAAGAGGAAATGCTTTGTGGTTTGTTTTAAACCACATCTACATACATCAGAATCGATAGTTGTAAAAGAGTGGGCCATTTTATGTGCATTTAACAAGAGGCCAACACGTAATTGGTTCAGTTTGATTTCCAAATTACGGGGAAGAGATAAATTTTGTGAATTTGTCTGAATATTTTGAAAATTTTGGAAGTGCTTTTTGATTTGGCCTTTGAAAGAAGAGATAGTAGGCACCTGCCTGAGCTGTAATGGTAAGGAGTCCCAAATTTTAGAAAAAAGGATAGCTCCACTATCCTTGAACCTGGTAGAAATATGTAATGGGATGTGATAGGTTGGCCTATCCCTTAACTCTATTCCTATTGGTACAGGTGTCAAAAGTCTAAAAATATCTCTGATATATGAAGGGCACATATTATGTTTTACCTTGAACATTAACACACCTATGTGTGATAATCGTCTGGCTTCTAAAGTTGGCCAGTTTAGAATTTTCAAAAGTTTGTCGCCATTTGATCCATGCAGAGCTCCAGATACTAAGATTGCAGCTCTATAGTGCAAGGTATCTAGCAATTTTAAGGTTGTTTTGTTACTGCCGTGGTATAAAATGTCACAGTAATCGAAGTGTGGAGAAATATAAGAATTGTAAATAAGATCAAGGTGAGCTGACTTTACTTTATTTTTAATGGCCTTTAAGGGATTTAACATTTTCTGGACCTTTGCAGTTAGTTCTCTTACGTGAACTTCATACGAAAGTGTGTCGTCCAAGTGAAAACCTATGTGTTTGTGGCTATCAACTATAGGAATGTTTTGATTTGAGAGGGTCAAAGGCTGGTGAACTGGCTTTGGAGTTCCTATTGTTCTAAAGGTCAAATCTCTGCTCTTCTCAGCTTTAAAGTGCATTTTCCATAACTGAGACCATTGTTCAAGGGAGTTTAAGTCATTTTGAAGAAGTCTGCTGTTATTTGGAGAATGTTTCATATAGGTGAAGTAAATGGACGTATCGTCGGCATAAATGTAGCTTCTTGAGTTTAAATTGTCTGGCAAATCATTAATGTATAAGAGAAAGAGCAAAGGTCCCAGGATTGATCCCTGGGGAACACCTGCATTTATATCATCATGATTTGAATATTCGGTTGAGGAGCCGTTGATAGAAACTCTAATTTTTCTATTTGTGAGGTAAGAACTAATCAATTTTATAAGATTATTGCAAAAACCATAACTTCTGAGCTTATGAATAAGTAGTTTATGCGGAACAGTATCAAATGCAGCCGCGAGATCTAGGAAAATAGTACGAACATTGTTTCCTTTACTCAATTCAGTATTAATATAATAAATAATTGAAACTAGCTGAAGTGTGGTACTGTGGCCTTTGAGGAATCCTGACTGACGTTCATATATCAAGTTATTGGAGATCAGGTAAGTGCTAAGTTTGTTATAGATAACTCTTTCATAGACTTTAGAAATGGTATTCAGCAACGTAATTGGTCTATAATTTTCACATCTGGACTTAGGACCTTTCTTATGAATAAGGCTTACATCACCTTCTTTCCAGGTGTCAGGAAAATGATTGCCTACCAGAAGTTTGTTAAATAATTTTGTTAAAGGAAGTGACATTGCGTCTGGACATAATTTAAGCATTTCATTCGATATCTTATCAGGGCCATTTGATTTGCCATTTTCCAGTTCTTTAATCAGTTTAAGTATTTCACTAGAGTCAGTTTGAAAAGTTTCTAAAGTTAGATTTGTTCTCATTGGAAAAATAGGATAATTAACAACATTATCAACTCTCATTTTCTTTATAAGATGTCTATGAAAAATATTAGCTTTTTCAAGGCTGGTAACACCAATAAGGTTTGTTACTGCTTCAGTAATAACTGGTATTGCACTGTTGAACCTTTTCCCAAGTAGTTTATTAATCATTGGCCAGAAGTCATTAGAATTTGCCGTATTTTGATTAAGCTTGGTACAAAAATCATTTTCAAAGTTTTCTTTCGCTTCGCCTATTTGGCGCTCAACAACTAAGCATTGCTCCTTATACAAATCAAAGTGTGAAATATTATTAGTTATCTTAAACCTTCGATAAAGTCTATCACGCTTATTGATACTTCGCTTGATGGCATTATTAAACCATGGTTGATCTCTTGTTCGAATATTAACTTGCTTATGTGGTATAAATTGGCAAAACAGATTATATAATGAATTTACAAAGTTTGAAGTTACATGATTTAAATCATCTCCTTCAAGTATTGTGTTCCAATCAGTAGAAACAATTGCTTCCGACAAGCCATCTCGATTAGTTTGGTCATATGACCATCTTGTTTTTTTATAATACGGCTCCCGATGTACTATAAAATTGATAGAACTTTTAATGGTGCAGTGATCACTATTTCCAATTGGGCTAGTGACATCAAAATCAGAGATATAACCAGGGCTATTAGTTATCAGATGATCGATACATGATTTACTAATGAGACGTTGGCCTGTTTCTAAGGTTCGAGCGGCTATTCGAGTAGGTTCTGCTATAAGTTGGGTTAAACCCAAGTCAGATAATAGATTGAAAAGGTCTTCACCTGGTTGATTTGTTATATCTTGATCATACCAGACTTGGTTTCTGGCATTAAAATCAGAGTTTATGATTAAGTCTAAGTCATTATTTTGGTTATTGTTGTCAATTTAAATGTTATTTCCTGTTTATTTTCAGAAAATTAACATTGAAGAAATTCTCAAAAGCTCTGCATATGGGGATAAAGGGTAAGTTGGCATATATATATACATGTAGATGACTTTGATATTGGTTATATCCAGAGGGAAATAATTTTTTATTTTAATTTAACACACATTTTAAGAGTGGCACATGTTTTACTCCAGTACATGCAGTGGCATGAGTTGCGATGTGTGAATTGTATAATTTAGTTTAAGTTTGAAATTAACGATTGTACATTTGTTATTTGCATGTATTTGATAATTGACTTAATTTATCCCACGATTCCGATGAACACCAAGAAGTATTATTGACATTCTTTGGAAAAATCATTCTCCTCAAAAATCATATTCTTTTGATCATCCAAGTATTGAAAATCATAATCATCTCATCATCATTTTTCAAAATTGAATCCATATTTTCATTTTTATCACTACAGTTTCACCATTTAATTTATATTTGATTCTCCATGTTGTAACACAACCCCAAATCATTGAAAATCATGGGATAAGTTAAAAGTTTATTTCCTGTTTGAGAATTGAATATGGCTTTTTTGCGTCAGTTAATATGATATTTTCCTTGTCTCTTTCTGTCCTTCAGTAAATATCATATTAACCCCCAGTAAAAAGCCCATATTTCATCCCTACCAGTGCATAACCTCTTAATACACAGTGAATGTAATTAATTACCCTTTTCCATGCATTTGCAGTTCCCTCGTGTAAAGGTATATATATAAAACTTTGTTCACCTCGTTGCCATCCATTTTAAGGTTTAGTAATGTTTATGTATTCCTTTAGTTATTTACCTTTTGCCCTCTCTTTAGATTCTGTTTCCTGCATGTGCACTGTTCCACAGCTGGATGATGCTAACTGCAGTTAGCTTCATTCAAGATGGTTGTCGAGATTCTTTCATTTTCGATAAACCTCGGATTTCAGCTAAACTAAGTTGAAGTTGATTCCAAAAATAATGCCATGCAAATTAATAAAACTATGATTGTATTCAACCACAAATGAATGCCCAAACACCTGCAATATTAGAGAATTTTAAGGAATGACTCTAACTGAAGTTGATGATCTACGTCATCATCACCTCATCTTCGACTTCAGTTAGAGTCATTCTAGAGCCATTTTCTTTAAAATTCTCAAATATCGCGGTTGTTTGGGCATTCATTTGTGGTTAAATACAATCATAGTTTGTACTGTAGTTAGAGTCATCCAGCTGTGGAACAGTGATGCGATTGATTCATCCATAAGTTAATTACTAATAAGATAGTGCATGTACTGTATATTGTAAAAACCGTACCATTTTTATGAAATATAGTTCTGTCAATAAGATTGAATAATTCCTCAGAGTTTTATTCAATTTTTGAATAGCTTATGAATATGTCAAGGGTCATTCCTGAATATCATCACTTATCTATTGTCATACCTACCATGTCTACAATTGATTCCATGTGTTACACAAAGTAGCCATTGAGCATGTTTGCATGTTTGTCTTATTTAATTTCACCTGTAACTATCTTTATTGATTGATCTTTTCCTATATTGATTTGACCTTGACCTATATATTTCTCCCACTAGATATCTCCCCTTGTGCATCTCCCACTCCAATATTCCCTGGAAAACATTTTTGTTTAGTGTAGAAACAGTGAATCTCAATAATTTGCCCTAGCAATACTGTATTTAGGCATCTGAGGAAAAAAAACTATAACTATGATATTCTCATTGAAACATAAAGAGGCTTTATATCAGCAAAGAAATAGAAATCTCTGAAGCAGAAAGGACTTGAAAATCAGCCAAATACTTGTCATTGGATAAAATAGCTATGTGATGCTCAGTTTAGGATATGGGGTATATCCCTCATGAAATATGACATCTTGCCTTGGACCCTCCAGGCCCTTGGTAAGATATCTATATTTTCCGAAACCTCCCATAACATAATCCTCATATATTGACTTGAAATATTTCAGACATGATGTCCTGTACCAAGTTACCAACCAGGCCCATAGCCAGGGGGGTTTGATGGCCAAAAAATCTTTCAAAATCATGCAGTTTTTCACCATTCTGAGCACTTTTTAAGTGATTTTGGTTATTTTTGGACCAAAATTGTCACAAGTGAACCCCCCTAGAATTTTTCAAAAAGTGAACCCCCCTTGGCAAATCCTGGCTACGGGCCTGTCAACCTTAACTTTTCATGAGAAATGATCAATAAATTGTAACCAGAGAATCACAGAATCTAGAGTATACTTTGCAAATAGGCGTTCTTTTAATTGATCATTCCTCATATGTTTTTCTCATGTTGCACCCTAACAGTGTGATTGTATGTTCTAACTACAGCATTCAGTAACATCCAACCTGTTCAAGATAAAATATCAAAGTTGCCTAAGGAGAGAAAAGTTTCTGGAAGAACTCAAAGTTCTAGTGCCACCTATACGTACACAACTGATAGTGATTCAGGCACTGATGGGGAAAACGATCAAGGTAACCACAGTAACAACAATAAAGAAATGATTTCCAATTGATCTATGGCATACGTGACCCAATAATAAGAATGCATGTTCCTCACCCAAAACTGTGACCTCATAAAAAAAGTATTAGCCATTGGCAGAGAGTGAGGAATATAACAGTAAAAAACACAAATATTTCACTCTATTTTCTAATTAATACACCCCACTAGAATCATTGAGAGAACAGGCTGTCATTGATAGAATGAAATTTTCAAATTAACACACCTAACATCAGGTTATTGATGAAATAATTGTTTTATGATTCTGTATGGAATGTGAATAAATAGCAGCAATTAAAGATTTTTTGAAAAAATGTCTTTAACAGTCTTGTAGTCTTTCAGTAATATTTTTAAAGTGAACTGCTGCATTTGATTCACGAGGAGATAGAAATACAGTTAAAAGGCAAATTCAAGGCTCTTTTACTGACACAAGAATTTCTCACTGATTAATAATAATTTTTTTATTTTACAGGTGGCCAGTGGAAGAAGATGAAACCAAAGTCAAGTGCCCTGTCACACACAGGCTTGAAGTGGGAGAGGGTCAAGGTTAGTTAAAGAAACATCAATTAAATACTATATTACTATTTTCAATGGTTTGAATGTAGTTTGAGGCTACACCCTGAGTTAGAGATAATACTTTGGTTCAGCCTTAACTAATCAGAATATGGTTAATCAAAACCCAGCAATCCAATCAAAATAGCATCTGGCTTTTCTTTCATATTGAAACTCTTATTAAGGCTGTGACAGCTACTTTTAGATATCACCAGTATTAAAAGTGTATACTACTGTAGAAGCACAAATTATAGCAGGCACAAACTATAATGAAATATAGCCAAAATCATAAAACTCAATAATGAATTATAGCGGTTTAAATGCAGGTTTATTTCTCTATCTCGATTCCAATCGCTAGAATAATCATATCTTATTTATTTTTCATATTCAGAGCCTACTGTACTAGACTCTAACCTTTTATAGTAAATATTGTGGTTAATATTTTCATGATCCCCATCCTTTCCTTAAGAATCCAGAATTCTTGAGGATTTCTCGATATGGTTAAAATACATAGTAGCCTGGCCAGAACAAGTCATGCCTCTCTATTTTTCTCCATTACTTACTCAATTTTGAATATTTTTTCACAGAATAAATTTTCACAGAATAAACTTTAAGAATTCCTAACATACAATTTTTTTATATGGTAAATGCCTCATTAATTTCATTGTTACAACCTTTTAAAAAATAATGTCATATTCTGTTGATGGGTCATTTTTGTCGCCATTTTTCTAAAAAGATACGAAAAATCTCCTATTACGTTTTGTCCTAATATGGTCTACAAATTTGATTGCAGTCTTTGATAGGGGATCATTTATCTTTTTTAGTGTTCTAAATCCACCATACTATTTCAAGGCCTCATGATCTCAAACCTCTATACTGCTCGTCCCATAAAAGGCATTACTACTCGCCTATTGTCATACTTGATGGAGATAAAAGATGCTTTCAAATGGTGACAAAAATGACCCATCAACAGAATATGACATTATTTTTTAAAAGGTTGTAACAATGAAATTAATGAGAATTTACCATATAAAAAGAATTGTATGTTAGGAATTCTTTAAAGTTTATTCTGTGAAAATTTCATGAAAAAATATTCAAAATTGAGAAAGTTATTGAGAAAATAGAGAGGCATGACTTGTTCTTGCCAGGCTACTATGCGCTTAGTGATTAGGCAAGACTTTCAATTTGAGGGGATGGTACTTTACAGTCCATGTGGAGTCGGTGTATATTTTATGAAACATTATGAATTAATAAAAAAGTGTTTTTGTTTTAGAGTATAGTTCACAACAACCTGATATCAGATAATGTGGAACAGAGACAAGATGCTGCAAGGGTGAGTCACTAAATATATTTTGATAACCTCTAAGTCTAATTAATTGAGACAAATACGTAACTTGGCTAATGAGTGGCTATGTATATTTTACATAGAAAGATGAACTGAGAGAAAATACATAACTAATGAGTGGCAACATATGTTTTACATATGAAGATTAATTATTAGACAAATACTTAACTTGTACATAACTTGACTAATGAGTGGCTATGTACTGTACTATGAACTGAGATAGAATACATAACTTGGCTAATGAATGGTTACATTTATTTTACATACAAAGATTAATTGAGACAAAATTGGTTAATGAGTGACTACATATTTATAGCACCTGGGGGCACTCAACAGTGGGGACGCTATGGTTATGTTCGCATTGAGGGAGAGATTGGAGAAGGATGATGACGAGAGGGTGAAATATGAGGCCACAAAGTCTCTCTGTCTTCTAGGTATGGAACTTAATATGAGATTACTGTGTACAGAATAACCACTGTATAAACCTAAACATTTATTGGCTAAATGATTGATTGGATGATTGATTAAAATACATGTAGACACAATTTGTAATGTTGGAAAAGGCTTTAAAACAGCCCACCTGCTTATTTATTACCAATTTATATATACAAGAGACAGAATGTGTGTTGTATTTGTAATACTTAGAATAAATCTTTTAACTCAGGTTGCTGGGACAATGACATCCTTGGTCGGCTGGCTCGCTATCTGATCACTGGAAATACTGAGATACGCACTGATATTATTAACACCATCAGTCGAGGCAAGAATGTACAGTTCGTAAGAAAGGTCAGATACATTTTTGAAATTATGTAATAAATAATATTATTTAGCATTTAATCAATAGTTTAAGTATGAAGAAATAATCTTGAGGGTTTTCATCATTAAATAAATGAAATTTAGTCAAAGTGATATATTATTTGAAATCAACACAGTTACATCCAAAAGTGTGGTTTGAAATTTTGTTAATTTATTTTTTGATTTGAAAGTGATTTCTCGGTCAGGTAGATCCACTAAATTGATCCATAATATTTAAATTCAAAACCTTTTTGTTTTCCTACCATAGTCTGACCAGAGTTGGCTACTGGGTGTAAATGTATGCCTTGTTTAAGGTATACCTTTGAAGATTATCTTATTCAACATTTATTGAATTTTACAGAGACTCCCAGCATTTTCACAACTTCGCGATGTCCTGGTTCACATATGTAAGAATCCTGACCCCGCAGATATGTTGTCATTTGATGCTGCAGTATGCCTTGGGAAACTATGTGAACCACTGCAGGTAGCAAAGGATCGACTTCTGCGTATTCTTGATGAAACAAAAGACACACACCATAGACAAAAGGTATGCTTAAAATTATTCATTTTGTATTTATTGAATTTTCAATGGATAGACTAATGCAGAAACTGCAATATCTGTTGCAATAAAACAATCCAAATTACTGTTCAATGGACCATTTAGAATCTACAGAATTGGAGAACGTTGCAGATAATATTGTGATGGCACTACATTTATTTACAAAAAACAAATTTTGATAATTTACGTTGAAGAAATCTTTAAATGAAGATGTTCCAAACGTCTAAAATTTATATTTATGACTTAAAATTTTATACATACTGCTTTGAATTTTAATGGCATTTATTCTATACACTTATTTCAATAGAATGTAAGTGTCCCATCTTTTGCCCACCCCGTAATTCATGTTTTCAGACATGATCAGGTATTAAACCACTGATTACTTATATTACATTCTCATATTAGAAGCCTTCTGGAAAGTATCTGATTAGGTAATGTATTAAATAACTGCATGAGGCAGCCCTCCCTGGATGGATAAATGAATAAATGTTCATTTTTTGTAAATGTTCACTTAATTAATTAGTTGATTAATTAACTTTGTTTTTTGTTGTTATATTACATCACTGATCACATTCAGAGTTTGATCCTTAAACATCCTTACCGCATGGTCATATCACTTCACAAAGCATGAATACAGCTCACTACAATTGAAATATACACGTAGACCTACCTATATTTTACCTAGGACACACCATTCTTAGTACAGTTAACTATACAGTGCAACATAGTTACTCATTTTAAAGGAATTAGAAGTGATAGAGAGTGTAACATTATGGCAGAAAAGCTTAACATTAATCATATTTTCTGAAAAAAGTAGATATCTGGTCACATATCGAAGTACTTAAAGATTTAAGATGTAGAAATGTCCAAATTCATGAGGATTAAAAAGTGGACATCAATATCTGCCAGTTGACCTGAAAATCAAAAGATTATCCTGTGATAAAGTCAGACCTGTTGGAAATTATGAAAATGCTCATTTAAAGGCTAGAGATGAAAGAGTGTTCAAAACGAGCCAATTTTGGCGAAAAGCATCTCGATCTCATCCCAGCTTAAAAATGGCTTTTATCTGTTTTTATTGCAGGCTATATCAGTCCTGGTTGGTCAGTTGGCTTGTCGGGAGTGGAAGGTGGTTGAGTCAATTGTCACTCAGGTGTGTGCTTCACCTGTCTGGAAGTACAGAGTAGAAGCTGCCAAGATCCTGGCCAGTCTTGGGCCTAAATATGTCTGTATTGAAAAGGAAACGGAGAAAATCTATGAGCAGCTAGAGAGGAGACTATGGAATGATCCCAATCAGGTATACTATGGGTCATTTGATAACTTTAAGGAAAGGGTATTGAATATAGCATTTTTCTCAGAATTTCTAATTGCATAACTGCCCGGACATTTTGAAAATGGTTACTTCAATAAAATACTTTAAATATGAAACCAAATATAAAAGATCATTATGGCTAATATTAACTTAGGTCCCCTTATAAAGTCATTTTTATAAATTGTTCTATCTATTTAAAAGTAGATTAAACATTGTGTTGTACTTGTAGGCTGTAAGGGAGGAGATCTCAAAGACGTTACAAGCTCTGCAGCTGTTCACTAGAGCATGTGAGAGATTAGAAAAGTAAGGACAAAATTCAAGTTCAGCAATTATGATTTCAAGATTCCAATATTTTAAATTATTTGTTTAACCATTGAATGATGATTTGGTGAGTACTATGAAGTACAACTTACCGGTAGTTCATATTAGTGACAGTTCTGTTTCGCTCACACAGTGAGTTATAGATCGTCAATTCTCTTAACGAGGCTGATGAATGGGTTCGTACAACATTTTAGTAGCGATTGTACTAAAGCTAATAAGTAATGAGACAAAGAGAACTACATGTAAAGGCCACAATATGAAGTTAACAGAGATTCATTCCAAGACAATGAAAAGGAATCATTCTTTGCATAGAGTTTTGTTTTTAACACTTATTAACACTTTGCATAGATGATATGAATTCTTGGAATACCCTGCCACAAAATGTCACTCATAGATATGAAACAATTGAGGAATTGAAATTAAACGTTCATAACTATTTGAATCGTCATCCAGTCATAATACTACAGACAACAGATGCCTTCTGTCCAGACTCCCGTAAAATGCATTCAGTAAAGGCTGCATACTCTCTAACCCTACCCCCTATGAATGGCAACAAGCTTACAACCCTTCACTTTAAAAACAAGGCATAAAGTTGGATCTGTCCATTCGTCTGTGTCTGTCCATTCATCTACGAGAATAGTATCTGTCAGTCGTACATATCAACAATTCTTTAACTCATGAAAACTTGCCCTTTGTTTGAATTAATGCTTAGCCATTATTATATGGGATTCATACAACTACATTCACCTCATTTTGTAGAAATCAGCTTTTTTGTTCCATGCAAATTCACCATGTGAGCGCAACATTGCCTAGAGACTTAAATGGTCTAATTTACTTGTAGTTTATACACATATATTTGTAATTATAGACGGCTGGAAGATGCCAATCCTGATGTAAGAGCACAATCAGTCATCTCACTGGTGAGTTTTCTCATAATTTATATCGTATAGTTCTGGTTGATTAAACCTTCACCTTTCTTTAGAAAGCAATCTTGAGTTGTTGTTGGGAGATACCTATATATATTCAGCTATAATGAGTGAATATACAATGATGAACAAACGGAATTTGATATGTCATGTCGGATGGTTTATGTTTCAGGGAACATTAGGTATCCGCAATGAGAAGATACTGCGACTCTTACTAGAGATGCTAGAATTAGATGTCAGTGAACAAGTCAGGATACAGGTCAGTCAACTCAATAAACACATGGTAAACTTTAGATACTGTATACAGGATACAGGTCAGTCAACTCAATGAACTAAATAGTCAACATTTAATGCTATATACAGGACATAGGTCAGTCAACTATTTGAACTCAATGATTAACTTTCAATACTATATACAGGATACAGGTCAGTCAACTCATTAAAACACATGGTAAACTTAATTCTATATGCAGGATACAGGTCAGTCAACTCAGTGAACTAAATGGTAAACTTTTGATACTATATACAGGTCAATGAACTCATTAAAACACATGGTAAACTTTAGATACTGTATACAGGATACAGGTCAGTCAACTCAATGAACTAAATGGTAAACTTTTGATACTATATACAGGATACAGGTCAGTCAACTCAGTGAACTAAATGGTAAACATTTGATACTATATACAGGTCAATCAACTCATTAAAACACATGGTAAACTTTTAATTCTATATACAGGATACAGGTCAGTCAACTCAGTGAACTAAATGGTAAACATTTGATACTATATACAGGTCAATCAACTCATTAAAACACATGGTAAACTTTTAATTCTACAGTATACAGGACACAGGTCAGTCAACTCAGTGAACTAAATGGTAAACATTTGATACTATATACAGGTCAATCAACTCATTAAAACACATGGTAAACTTTTAATTCTATATACAGGATACAGGTCAGTCAACTCAGTGAACTAAATGGTAAACATTTGATACTATATACAGGTCAATCAACTCATTAAAACACATGGTAAACTTTTAATTCTACAGTATACAGGATACAGGTCAGTCAACTCAGTGAACTAAATGGCTTTCTTAAAATACACTGGTCTGCTATATTTCATGTTCTACAGAGAAAAAACAAGTGTAACAATTTTTATTTTTATTCATTTATACTCGATAGTATACTAGTATCATAGGTGGTAGTAGTTTGTAGATTTCAAAAATAGTTGTACATATTTAACTGTTTCATGCCTTTGTATTTGCATATTGCAGATAATCCGGACATTTGCTCTGCTAGGTGTGGCGGACAAGAGAGTGTTGAGAATGCTTAAAGAAAGAGAGAGATATGAAGGCACACTTGGAAGGTAACACACATAACTTTACAGCTAAAGATCTTATCTTCATCTTACGCGTTTGTTTTGGATAGATTAAAGTTTTATTTTGAGTCTCAAAATTGGGAAATTGAATTCAGTCAAGTTGTCAAGCGGTGACATATTGTTATAGTCTCCAACTTTTTTGTGAACAGTGTTCGGCGTCTATAACAGCATTCAATGGTCGGTTTCTGGAATGGCAGGTGGTGACATTTTGCATGGCAATACCTTGTGTATAAAATAAATCATGAAGGAGTTTCTTAAATTGACCTAGAATTCCCATTGTGACCTTGAAGCTTAGAATATCGTGTGAATGTTTCATTGTTTTATTTCAGTGAATCAGCAAAGGCACTGGTAACTATAAATAAGAAGAAAGAGCATTTGAGGATCTCTATGGAATCTCCTTGAATAACAGTAAACAGCCTGTCCAGTTGTGTGGAAAGATTTTTAGTGGAAAGGCTTAGATACTCGATCCAAGAAATACTTTGCTAATGGGAACAGTCATATGTTCACAAACTCTGTTGTGAGAATCCGCTCTACTTTGGAGTTTGGAGTGCTCACTCTACTGTGTACTAGTATTCACTCTTCTTTGTAGCACTCACTCTACTATGCAGTACTCACTACGGTTTAGCACTCACTCAACTGTGCAGTAATCACTCTAGTCTACTGTGTCTATGTAGTATGCACTCTACTCTGTAGTATGCAATCTACTATGTGCTATGCCTTTTGCTGTGAAGTATACTATTGTGAATTACGAATGCAAAACTCCAAGCATAGATGTTCAAAAATCAAAAAATACAAAATATCAATTTGATATCTGACAATAACCTATCATATAGAGATGTTGCCTAGCATCTGTCTGATTTGTTATTCAATAGCACAAACGATCACCATGGGCGTTATTAACTACAAGCGAACAGAGATGATGTATGTTATCTTGGGGCTATAAAAGGTGATGTTATGAACCTTATAAATCACAATAAAGAGATGACACTACTCTGATAATGATAATTATTATAGATGATAATGTATAATGATAATCATATTACATAAAATAAATCTTTAAAAATATGGTCATTTATTTTTATATTTTTTCATGAAAAGTTATAGTGCATTATACATGCATTTTTATCCCATCCATATTACATAAATGTAGCTGTATCTACAAATGTTCACTTCAGACGCACATATTTTATGATTGTTATTATACACTTGTCTTATGTAATTTATAAATCCTACTGTATGTTTACACCCACTTTGTACATTTCATTCCGTCCAAGATTCAATTTTTATAGAGATTGTTGAAAAATCCCAGATTCTGGTTCTGTCTGAATCTGGGTGAATTTATGTTACAAATGTCATCACTAATGTAAAAAGTTAGTTGTAATAAATGTCATTGTATTTTTGTATGGAATATTAATTTTGTATATTTGGTATTTTATGATATATATGTGATATATATTGCACCTGCATATCGCGACCTGAAGCTCTACATTGTCATTCTAATGGTCAAATTAAAAGCTGATATAAAGCCAGGACGTAGTTAATAGTAGACCATTTCAAGCATACAGAATTCTTAAAAAGCGATAGATAATTCAACAACTTTATTGTTATGGGTAATTTGATGTCAGTTCTATAGTAAACACATGTCAGACTTATTTACAAAACGTCATTTACCTGTTATGAACCTATTTCACCCAAATTAACTCTCTTATTTCTGAGTGTTAATGAAAAGTACATAAAAACGGTTACCATAGCAACCTAAGGGTAGCGTTCCGAGAATCACACTGAATGTTCAAATTGGCCGGGTAGTAATAACATAAATTGATAACACCCAATATGAGCAGTTCTGACAGCAGAGATGTGGGGTAACATCTAAAAAGAAGACGAGGCATGATTAATTAGGGAGATTTGAGTTAAAGGGGAAATACTGTCATATAAGACTTTCTTCATACTTTTTCAGTTCAAAAGTCCGAACTAATATTTTTCTGTAAAAATAATTATATATTAATAAGTTAATAAGACTGAGTCCCATGCCTCGTGTCCACTCTTAAAAATGAATTACTTGAGTATTTCCCAGGTATTTCCCAAGTATAAAAATTACTTAAAGTTAAATACTTAGTTTTACTTCATTTTACTTAGGTTTAACTTATATTGTCATTTTGAGTTTTTTAATTGCTTAATTATGTAAAATGAGTATTACAATTACTACAGTAAATATTTCAATTTCTCTCCTTTCATTAGTAAATTCACCATAAATGAATTACTTAAAAATTACTCAAAAATTATTCAGTATTTCAAGATTATTTAAGTAATTTTTTACAATTTCTCAATATAAGGAAATCCAAGTAATAATTTTTAAGAGTGTCTTGTTACGCTCATGCTCTTAGTGCAATAAAGTGCCATGACTACTGAAAGGCCTATACTACTGCTAAAGCTGTAATGAAATTGTGCAGCATTCCTCTGTGTACCCTGTAAATACTATTAATTATACGTTATTATGTAGTTGACCGACGCTAGGGACTTTACATTATAGAGATGAAAAGCTTTTAATTTTCAATAACCATAATCTGTCAGTGATTTGGAAATTCTATCAATTTATAGAAGTGACACATATTCGTGTATAATCAGGTAGAAAAATAATGCAGTAAAACTTGTTTTCTTGAACGGTTACCTTGCTGACCTGCATATTATTTATGCTATACATTAAACCTTCAATTTGTGAAAATTGACCCAAATTTTCAAATGCAATTTTTTCGAAAATTGAACCTAGTTATCGGGTTACACTGTAATAGATGATGATCAGACGATGACAAACTATTTCCGATAAATATTACTTATACTATGCATTAGATGGGATACATGAAAAGGAACGTTCCCATGGTGAGATGGGTGTTATCGGCGTGTTCTCTAAGCACACGATGCAAATATGAACAATAGACAAATTTATAGTATTGAGCTGGCCCCTTGTTGCATTGGGAAACAATTATGCGGCAATTATGGTAGGAGTGTGAAATTATAAACAGCAATAACAAGCGTATCAATTTTTTCAGGACAAGTAGTCGAGGCAAACTGCAAATAGGACCGATGCTCTTGAACAACATTAGGCCTATCTATCCCCAGGGGCTCAATGGGTTCGGGCGACCCACCCCCTGGCCAAAAATCTTTCAAAATCATGCAGTTTTTCACCATTCTGAGCACTTTTTAAGTGATTTTGGCCATTTTGGACCAAAATTGTCAAAAGTGACCCTCCCTGGATTTTTATCGCACTTTGAAAAAGTGCTATATTGTCGTCGTCTTGTGCTGTTGGGCGGGCGGGAGGGCGTGCGGGTGTGCGGGTGCGGGTGGGCGTGCGGCACATAAACCAAATCTTGTCATCAAATTTCCAGGATAACTGCTTACCTGTTCAACTTGAAATTTTTACAGATGCAAGAGCAGACTAGTACCAATATCTGATTAGGTTAAGGGCATGCTGGGTAAACTACGTGGCGGCCATTTTGAATTTTTTAACAAATCTTGTCATCAAAATTCCAGGAAAACCACTTATCCGTTCAACTTGAAATTTTTACAGATGCAAGAGCAGACTATTGCCAAGATCTGATTAGGTTTTGGGTATGCTGGCTGAATTGCATGGTGGCCATTTTGAATTTTTAAATTTGGCGGCCATTTTGATTTTTTCAACTTGCTCCAAATTGACCAATTTTTTTTTAAAAAACATCTACAAGTTCTCAGAAGTTCAAATCTGACCATAGATTTCAGTGTTGACCTTTCGTTCACCTTCAGTGACCTTGAAAAGGTCAAAAAAGTTGATTTTCTAAATTGATATTTTGGATTTAAATTTAGGTCAGCTTAATTACAAAACACCTACTGAGGTCTGAAAAAGTGAAATTTTCAAGGTCGAAGGTCAAGGTCATTAAACTAGGTCACAAATGATGTTATCCAACTTTCTCAAAGTTTGAGACTACAAATCAATTCTTGTCATCAGAATTCCAAGAAAACAGCTAACCTGTTCAACTTGAAATTTTTACACATGCAATAGCAGACTAGTGCCAAGATCTGATTAGGTTTAGGGCATGCTGGGTAAACTATGTGGCGGCCATTTTGAATTTTTCAACAAATCTTGTCATCAAAATTCCAGGAAAACCACTTATCCGTTCAACTTGAAATTTTTACAGATGCAAGAGCAAACTATTGTCAAGATCTGATTAGGTTTTGGGTATGCTGGCTGAATTACATGGTGGCCATTTTGAATTGTTCAATTTGGCGGCCATTTTGAATTTTTCAACTTGCTCCAAATTGACCAAATTTTTTTTTTAAAAACATCTACAAGTTCTCAGAAGTTCAAATCTGACCTTAGATTTCAGATTTGACCTGTCGTTGACCTTCAGTGACCTTGAAAAGGTCAAAAATTTGATTTTCTAAATTGATATTTTGCATTTAAATTTAGGTCAGCTTAATTACAAAAGACCTACTGAGGTCTGAAAAAGTGAAATTTTCAAGGTCGAAAGTCATCAAATTAGGTCACAATGTTATCTAAATTTTCCCAAAGTTCAAGACTACAAATACATTTTTGTCATCAAAATTGCAGGAAAACCGCTAACCTTGTCAACTTGAAATGTTTACAGATGCAAGAGCAGACTAGTGCCAAGGTCTGATTAGGTTTTGGCCATGCTGGGTAAATTGCATGGTGGCCAGTTTGCTCTTCAAAGTGCGATTTTTATCACTGTGTGTCTTGTTTTAAAAAGCTGACTTCGGTCTGTACCCCAGTCACCAATCCGCGGTCACCATTATCCATCAAGATATTTTCGCTTGATTTATCAAGACAAATCTCCAAAGGGAATAATGCTGTAGAATATGAAAATTTATTTTCTTGAAATTATGAGCCTTGGGTCTAAAATCGTGAAAATATTTAAGGATTCCTCAAGCTCGTTTTCACTAATGTACTGTTACGAGTAATTAATTGTCTCTAGACTTTAATCATTTATGATAAATTGTTGCAGTGTAAGGATTGCAGCCGCTGGGGTCATAATTGTAATCAGACTGATTTCTACGTAAAACTGCGTTATTTCTGCAGCCGATCATCGTGTGCTTAATTTCCCAGTGGTCCTATTGTTTCCATTGTATGGAACTGGCAAAAAAGCATCGTTATGAAGTCCTCGTAACAAGACCATGTAACAGCCTATCCAAGGTCACATTAAATACAATAATGTCACAAGTAATTTTTCCCCTAAAATAGACACAGTGGCTTCAATCGTACAACTATTGAATTATGGGGAATCTATCTTGTGGTTATTTCAGTGAGACACTTCAATCAAAGATATCATTTGGCGAGCATAACAAATTCTTCCAAAATTGACAAAAACCATTGGGAGCCAGAATTAAGTTAGGTCTTTACTGCCGGAAGCTCTTGGCTTTAATGTATATTGTGGTCACAAACAAGGGTTGTATAGTTTCAGTTCCGATTCAGTTCAAAAACTAAGAGGAAAAAATATGAGTGTACATTTTCAACTCCTAAATTTTTAGTCATAAATTGTTTTATGAAGTAGATCCAGGGATGCAAATATAAATTAAGATATGATGATGGACAGATACTGAAAGTTAGATATGTATGCATGGGGTTTAAGAACGTCATATAACTTATTGCAAGCCTCTCGTAAAAACAAGACGTTTCCCCGGGGTCGTTCCAGTAGTTCCAGCTCTTTGAATCAATTTAGAAGAAATATCAAATCAAAAATTGTGTGATCCATTCGCTTTGCTTAAACTTAATTACGGTTTCTTCTCGTCGACCTCTAAATTAGATCAATACTTAGTAGAGATAATTGTTTACTCGTTGTGTTCCTATAGCAATAGAACTAGGTTGATTGGAGCAAATGAAAGTTATGATATTGTCTATTACTGAAACCATTTTGAAAATGCAATTTACCCATAATGGGGGATTGATCATTTGTAGTCAATTCTGTAATCTAATCATCATGTATCCTTGTTATAATCCAACTCTACTAAATCCCCATTAACTTGCATTTCTAGCTCAGGCACTATCTCAATGGATTATCTCTAATAACAGTGGGCTGATCGGTTGCCTCTTTCCGATTACAAACGCATACATTTTGTAGATAACTAATAATGTTTATGTGAAGAGTTTCAGATTAAATGTTTTAGGAAAAGTCCAAAAACGGCGTAAGGGGTTTTGGTTTCAATGCAATGTTCCCCTGGAAATATTTTTAAAACAATTCTCATCCTTCCTCATTCAAAAATATTTTGTCCAATTCACTAGGCTATTTATTTTGATATGCTATCGTATTTTAAAGCTCCACAATTCCCTTCAGTCTTTACCATCTCTATACTCCTTTAAAATACGATTACAAAAACAGTAATAAATTATTATTGATCCATAAGTATGTATTTTTCCACGTTGTATTTTAATGTTTGTAATTTCATTTTTTGACTTATCTTTGTGCATACACTTTTTTATATGTTCATACAATGATTAGCATATTATATAATAATTGTACTTCTTGCTTTAAATTACTCAACTTATATAAATTGCGCATTAGTTATTTTTGATAATTGTACTGATATATCATCTAGCGCCAACCCTGTAAATGTAATACTAGTATTGACTGAGATAATAACAGTAAATAAATGAAAAACTAAAAAAATATGATATTAACAATCAATTAACAATTAATAAGGTGTTCATAGTCTGTCATTATGCTGATTTCATACTCTTCATACATTCGTATGACCAGGGGCCACATAGTTAAAACAAGGTCCTTTAAAAACACTTACTTAATGGTTAAATGCCTTCATTACCAGGAAAAGTACGAATGAAAATGCAATTAATTTTCAGTATCTGTCAATGTCGCTACGGCTTCTGTGACAAACTTCTCCCTAAATATCTCCTTATTGTAAAATGCCATTAAGACTGATAGCAGGCCGCATGGGACACAATCTGACATTTGAAATGTATAATAAA